ACTCAGGCTACTTAATCTGATTGAGCAAAAGCAGCCTCTGAGGCTGCAGCACAAACAAAATGAACTGGGGAGCTGAGAGGAGCTGGGACAGGGGACTTGGCCCTCTGAGGGCAGAGGGAGTGTGGGGCAGTAAAAAAAGAGCACTGATTTGTCATAAGTTCTACCTTTAACTGTTCCAAATCTCACCAGCAAGTCCCTTCCCTTCTCTGGACCTCAGCTTCCCCACCTGTCCAATAGCACAGCTGCACTAAATCCATGTTTGTGAATCACTGGTGATATGCTTCAAGATTTTAGATGGTTCACTTGTGATTCAATAGCTGCATATTCATTGTGTATTAGAAAAATAAATACAACAACCCAAAATTTCAATAGTATTGATCAGTATGAGGTAAAAGAAGCTAACTTTTAAAAAGAAGCTAACTGTTCTTGATATCAAGAAATGATTATATTGCTGGGACCTGGTGGCTCACGCCTTTAATCCTAACTACTCAGGAGACAGAGATCAGGAAGATTGTGGTTTAAAGCCATGCCCAGGCAAATAGTTCACAAGACCCTATCTCGAAAAAACCCATCACAAAAAAGGGCTGGCAGAGTAGTAGCTCATGCATAAGAGCACCTGCCTAGCAAATGTGAGGCCCTGAGATCAAACCCCAGTGCTGCAAAAAAAAAAAAGATTAAGTTAAAATAGAAGTGTAATAGTTATGTGAATCTCTACATCTGATATATTTTCATAGAACCATACACACACACACACACACACACACACACCACACACACACAAACAAAACTAAGCACAGGTGAAAAACAGATGAAATCTGAACAAGGCCTGCCATCTAGGCGTTATTGTACCCCTGACAGGCTCCTGGTTTTGATGCTCCTGTTATGTTAGATGTTACCACCAAGGGAACCTGAGGCAAAGGTAAACTAGAACTCCATACTACTTTTGTAACTTTCTGAGTCTAAAACTAATTGAAAATGTAAACAAGAACAACAAATTGAACCATAGAGTGAATACCCAAATGATGGAATGAAATATGGAGTTAAAGCTTTTTGGGTAGTTGCGTCAATCACACTGAAAGACACACCATGTCCCCAAGAAGTCCCCCAACCAGCACAATTCTAACTTAGCCATTTCGTTTGTGATTGGCAAGGTAGTGAGTTTGCTGGAGACCTGGGTTTCTTAGCCTGAGCTCAACTTTGCTGTGTGCAGGTTAGAGGCTTATATGACACAGGCGTCACCATGGCTGTGCCTCTGAGATGGGGTGCATCCCAAGAAGCAGATGAACCTCCTGGAAACTGAGCTCCAGCTTCCCGTTGGCCCTTAGAACCTCCGACTGGCCGAGAGTTCTTCCAGTCCAGCTCCTAAAAGACTTCTCTTCCAGAGAGCACAAAAGGGAAAAATGGGACACAGGTAGGGGCATAGCTTTGCCTAAGGTCACAAAGTGGTCTGGGAGCCGTAAGCCTGGTGCCCAGCATGAGGTCTGGGCGGCCTGAAGGCCTGGCCCTCAGCATGAGGGGCAGGGTGGGCAGTGCTGCTGTCCTGGAAGCGGTCATCTCAGGGGATGGGGATACAACCTTGAACTTGGACGACCCAACTCGTTCCGACAGACTTGGAATGGTGAGCGCCCGGACGCCACCCGTGGAGACGCCTCTAGCAACCCGCCTTTCACGGGTGGGGAAACTGAGAAAAGGAACTTCTTCCTGAACGCAATGCCAGCTGGCGGCAGAGCCAGGACCGAATCCCTGGCCCGGGTGGCTTGTCCCTTACTTCCCCCATTCTAGGTGCGCCCGCGCAAAGCTCCTCAGAGCCAGGGGTCGGAGGAGGGAGAGGGAGGTTCAGCTCGAAGCCCACGCGGGGTGACGGCGACATGGGACTCGGACGCCTGGCCGCGCACCCCAACACCGCGACCGAGGCTCCCGGTCACCTGCATCAACTCGAAGATGTGATTCTCCTCCCCGTACTGGGGCATTTCTGGGGGGATGATGTGCGGGGCGGTGGTCGCGTCCATGTCGCCCGCGGCGCGCCGCTCCCTAGTAACCGCGTCGCTAGGGCGCCCAGTGACGTCATCAGCGCGCGTCGCGGCCCCGCCCCGCCCCGTCGGGTCGCGCGTCCCAGCGGCGTCCGTAGCCCCCCGCCGACCTCGGGCACGTGCCTCTCTCCCCGTGCCTCGCTTTCCCGTCTGTGCCTCTCAAGTCGCTTCCACCGGGCCTTCCAGGAAGGAAGCGTCCCGAAGCGATCCCTGTGGGGACACCTCGGAGGGCTAAGTCGGTCCCCTGAGGCGGCGAAAGCCGAGCCCTATTTCTGGTGCTGCCACCGCGCCTGCTCCCGGCGCTGGGAGCTTCGTGGGCCACTCCTGGCGTGTCCCCTGGGCCTCAGTTTCCCCATCTTTAAAATGGAGACTGGAGTAGATGTGGAGGCGGGTGTTAGAAGAGGGAGCGACGTCCATGGTGGAGGTGGGGCGGGGCGAGGATCCGGCTGGAAATTCGCGGGTCTCCACCTGCGGCTCCCGGACTGGGCAAGGCGGCCACGTGACCCGATTGCTATGACACCCTCGGTCACAATCAGGCATGCAGCCGTCGCGTCTCCCGGCCCCCACCCCACCCACTCCCGTCTCCCGAGGCCTGAGGAGGGCCTCCCGCCCTTCGGGGCCCGCACACCCACGGAGTCACTCCAGCTTCTGGGCGCTCTGTGAGGCGAAGGCCGGTCCAGGACAAGCACGGGTAAAGAGGGCTGGGGACACCCGCCCAAGGCCCGGGTGCGGAGCTGGGGTGGGGGAATAACAGAAATGGGACAGCAGGACCGGAGAAGGGGTTCTGCCGGTGGTGTTTTCCTAACTCGCTGGGGAGGAGGCAGCCTGGTACTGGTGGCAGCACTGAAGTGGGATCCGTGGCTCCCAAATCGTATGTTGAGCTTTTAACTCTGCTGTCCACAGTACTGTTGCCTGTGTCCTTGTGGAAAGTATAGTGCAGTCCACACAGATGGCCCAAAATTCAAGTCCAGGCTCTACCTCTAGCTGTGTGAGCTTGGCAAAGTATTCACTTGAACTGCATCCCTTTCCTCCCCCCGTGCAACAGGGGATTATCGCTGCATTTCGTGGACTACTGTACTAAGGTTTAGACAGTAACTAGCATGAGGAAGTACACGATGCCTGGGGGCTCCTTTTAGCTGCAGTAGCTCATTTGATCTTGGCAATGGCCATGGGTCCCACTTTACAGATAAGAAATTGGAGGATGGAAAGGTTGGCAGAGTGACTTTGGGCGAGTCCTTTCCCCTTTCTGGACCTCTTTCCTTGTCAGGTGTTGATTACAGAGCATGAGCATCAACAGTCCCCTTGAAGAGTCTGAAATCCAAACACCCTCATTTTATGGATGTAAAAAGTAAGGCCTAGAAAGAGGGAAAATCTTGCCCAGGGCCACTGGATAAATCAGAGGCAGAATCAGGGGTGGAACTAGGCGTCCTGACTACAGCCCCAAGACACCTCCAATATAAAACCAGTAATGCTGCCTCTTTCACCCAACTACTTCCTCAAAGCCCTGGCACACCTTGGTAAGCTTCTCAAACCCCAGTGCAAAGACAGCTGGGGAAGAAAAGGGAGCTGCCTCCCCGGGACAAAGAACACAACAACCAAGCCTGCAATTTGCACCCAAGAGGGGTGGTTTGCTTTCTGGACATTTGTGAAATGACTTGCCTTTCTCCTCATTTATTTTAAGCCCTAGGCACTTTTCTTACCCTGATTTAATCTTCTTTAGCAGCCTGGAAAAATACAAATCAATTAAAGCCTAAAACCTATCTGGTAATCATTTTTTCCTCCCTCCTCCCCAGACAGGGAAGTGCTGCACTCTGTTTGTTTCATCCGCACTAATTTGGCTGCAGAGGCGCTCGTTCAAGGGATGATCACTTTGGATAGCTTATTACAGCTCCTCTCATGACATTTTTGGCGTGCATGTCACAAGTTGCTAGGATCAAGAACCAAGTCAGATTTGCTTTCAGGGGCTCTTGGGGCCACCAGCCAAGGCAGCACTGTATCCGTGGATAACGTGGGAGCCTCAGGAAGCGCCAGGAGGGTGACGGGGAGCTGAACACACAAAAGACAGCCCGCTGCATGCTAGCTAGTCCTCATTGTTTTGGGATAGGAGAAAGAAGTAGTGGGAGTGGAAATGAGGCTGGGGGTCCAGCTAGTGGATAGACCCTATAAGTGATCAGGTACCTTTTCAGGTCCTTGGTATTTTCCCCCTGTGTGCTAAGCCCAGGTCAGTCTGATGTTTGGCTTGTTTGTTTCTAAGTAACAGCGTATTGAGTGAAGAGCCCAGACTGGAAAGTCAGGCAGAGGCGACGGAGGAGTCCAGGGTTGCCCACTTCCTACCTGTATGGTTTCAGCTTCCTGATCTTTCCTGTAGGATAATTGTGGTCTCTCATTCTAGGATGTGGCAAGGACTCTTGAGACTGGGCTTGTGTAGAGCCCCATATAATCCAGCTGTTCTCAGGAGGACAGAATGAGCTGCTGTCTTTAAGCCAGCCAGGGTGGAGGGCTGGAGCACACTGTAGTTCGCCCTGCCCAGTGCCCAACCATCCCACATGCCCACCTCTTCCCTGCTCTGTTTTCTCTGATCTCTGCCCTGATCCTCGCCCACTCTTAACAGTTCCTTTAGAGCAGAGGCCTTATATAATTTGTCCAGTCCCCTGGAGCCCAGTACCTGGACAGTGTCTGTACAGTGTATGAAGGACCAGGTGAATGGACACCTGACTGTTCACCCTTGGTTTAGAAGCCTGCAGCAGTTCTTGTGAATGCCCAGCCCGACCCTGTCCAGTGCCCTCACAATATCTCCTCACCGCCCCCACCCCTCATCCCACTCCTGTCACCCACCTTCCCCCCTCCCAGGGATATGGCTTCCAGCTTTTCCTGTACAAGGCAAAACCCTTGGCAGCTGCTGCTTCTCTCAGGGTGCACCACCACACCTGTTGTGGTGTTCCCCGCCCCACCCCCACCCATTGCCTGTATGCTGTTTAAGCAGTACCTCTGAGGGGTCCTGTGATGGTATCACCACCTCCTTCTGGGCTCCGGGGTCCACATCTTGCCCCTGTTGCCTCATGTTTCGCTCACCCCAAGGTTGGGGGACTGATTGTACTGTCTCCCCACATTAGGACATTGAGGCTCAGAGACGGCAAGTGCTTTGCAGAAAAGGATGGAACCCGGGTCTGAGCACCGGCCTGCGTGACTCTAGGACTGCCTTAACAGCTACCAAGCACAGTGCTGAGCACTATGGGCAAGGGCCAGGCTAATGGCACATTCCCCAACACCCTGGAAACCCCGTTCCCGCTGCTCTGACTTCTCAGTGTTCAACTTGAATCATTGGTAAACCCCAGGCTGAGAGGCTTTCATCTCAGCACAAAATGTTAGGAGCCCCCAGAATCTCAATAGTCAAGATGACATTTTAATGCAATATTATCTATAAATCAAAATTAATGCCAAAACTCATTTAGAATAAGATACTGAAAATATAAAGACGGTCATTATTACTGATTTTTCCCTTTTGTCACAGTACTGAATCTATCCCGTCTTTAAAATTCTCTGTTTTGTTCTTTATAGACTTCTTTTGGTATTAATTTTTGTGGTCTTTAAAAAATATTTTTCTCTCTTGAATGAATGCTGCTTTTTGGCATCCCTTTAAATTTTACACAGAGTGGGGTGCCTCCCTCCCCTAACTCTCAAATCTTCCCTGGTGAGCCTTACATCATGGGAGGCACAACAAGAAAACCTCTGTGCTCCAGTGGGCCATTTCTGCTCCCTGGGGAAGGGGCCAAAGATATGTCAAGTGTTCAACAAACAAGGACCCCAGCCCCACTGCTCTCCCACCTTGTCCTCTTCAGGCAGGGGTGCTAAGTGTAGGGAGGTTGGGGAGGAGGGGGGCTGCTGCCCCTAGAGAGCTGCAGCTGCTCCCGTCTGTTGGCGTGGTACATGCTCTGTTAAATCTATAGAAGGCCCACTTGGGTTTATGGGGCCTGCTCCCGGGGTAGCTCCTTTGAGGCAGCCTTGCTGGCTGTGGCTCTGCAGCCAGCTTTGTCACTGAAGAGCCTCCTGCCAATAGTCTCCATGTTCCCTGATTCACCAGGCCATCATTTCATAGAGGCTATCTTCTGGTCCGCCCTTGCATTTCCTTTAATTCTCCTGCTTCAGCTCTAATCTGGGTTCAGGATGCTGGGGGGGGACAGAGCAGAAAGAACTGCCTCCCAGTTCTCCACTCCCCTGTCCCACTGTCTTGCTGTGCCTTGCTGAGTCCTTCCAGCATCTCACTTGGACTCTGCCCTGGCACAACCTCTTCTGACCCCCACTCCTGTGGCACAGGCTGCCATGCTGGAGCCTGGACTCTGTGTATGGTGGTGCCTGTTGGCAGTGGAACAGCAGCTGGATGTGGTGGCAGTAAGGATGCTGGTTAGACACTGGGGAACCTGGGACCCTAGGTGTCTGTGGCACAAACTTGCTGTGACTCCCTGGGCAAATCCCTTACCTCTGGGCCTCCATTCCCACAGAGGGCATTGGGCTGCTGAGATCCCTTCCAGCTCAACATTCTATAAATCCATGATCTGAAGTACTGTGCTCAGCAAAACTGTGATGTCACAGAGTACAGAACCCTTGGCTTTCTGCTCACAGGAATTCTAGGTGCTCCTGGACTACCGGAATCAAACCAGAGATGATCTATGGGGTGTCACAGGAGCACTCCCTACAGATATTGTCACTAATCAGGGTCAGGCCAGCAATTAACATGGGGCAAGGAGGAGTCTGCTGGCCCCGCAAACTTAAGAGCAGAGCTCCTGCCTGTAGCAAGCTTTCTCATGCTCTCCTGTTCTCCTGACCTAACTGGGGAAGACTGGAGTTGCAGGAAGGACAGACGATAGAAGACAGATGGACATAAAGTTGGGATCAGGTGTGCTGGGTGCTCAGATGGAGATGCACAACAGCCTCGTTGCTTTTTTACTTTTCTTTACTCTGCTTCTGTTCTTTATCTTTAAAGCCTTCCAATGTCCTTCTTTTCTAGTCTTTAAAACCTTATTTCTGAAGTCTTCTTTTCTATTCCTTAAAGTCTCTTGCCTTAGACTCGCACTGTCCCATGTTTTCTTTAGCTTTTCTTTAGCATAATCTTAAGAGTCTTGGCCCTCAGACTTGCACTGTCCCATGTTTCCTCTAATCTCTAACATAACCCAGCAGCCCACCAATCAATACCCCATCAAAAAACCCTCCACCAAAAAAAAAAAAAAAACCCATGTCCTCCTTCAGCAAGTCTTATTTATATCCAATGGTAAACAAGGAGGTGAAACAACAGTTCTCTGGGAGGGGGGCGTGACATTGTAACAAGAGAAACCTGCTCTCTGAACCTACTTCTCTGAACATAAACAACTTTGGAAAAGCAGCTGTGCTGCATCTTGCCTCTTGCTCTCTTCTGCACTTGGGCCGTGCCAAACTCAGCCTGTACATCATTGAGCACAACTGTGCTTATGTCAAGTCTCATAGGCTTCTTATAATCTGCTCCCCACACCTGCCCCAAGCACAGAACTGGGAGACACACTGGATAACCAAGCACCAACTCTTCCTCTGTTCAGGCCCCAGGAAGAATTCCCACCAACTGCAGAGTGGGAAGTGTTTTAAAATCTTTTGGCTCAAACTGATGCTCTGCTGGTTTCCCGTCCTGTGGCATGTGTCTTGACCCCAGGTTCTGCTAACACTACAGGGAGGCCTTGGAGGCTGTGTGTGTGAGAATGTGTGCGCATGTATGTGTGAGAGAGATAGTAGGCATATGAGAGCGTGAATGTGTGGAGATATCCTCAGTCTGCAGACAGACTGTGGGCCAGAGAAACCCTGTCCACAGCCAAGGAAAAGAAGTCACATTTCATGGTAGACCATGTCCTTAGAGGGTAAATGGGCAAAGATCAGGCTTAGCAACAACCCAGCAACTTGGGGATCTTGAGCAAAGGTGTGGTTTCCAGTTTCCTCCTCCACAAAACTGGGATGAAAATGGTCCCTAACCCTCAGGGTTGCGGGAATCTGCTTAGTGCAAGGTGGATCCAAGGAGGATCCTTCCGTCCATGTTTCTGACCCCTGGGGCCTCGCAATTCTTCTTCCTCCCTGTAGGTCTCTCCTGCCCTTTGAGTGACCACAGAGGACCACAATGAATGAGGTGAAAGAGTCCCTCCGCAGCATCGAGCAGAAGTACAAGCTCTTCCAACAGCAGCAGTTCACCTTCATCGCGGCCCTGGAGCACTGCAGGGAAAATGCCCACGACAAGATCCAGCCCATTGCCAGCATCGAACAGGTGGCACCCTGGCAAGGCCAAGTGGCTCTGCCAAACCCATTTCTTGGGCCTCTCCCAGCCCAGTTCCCTCATTCCAAAATCAAACAACAAAGCCCCGGAGAGGAGGCTTAATTATACAAGGATCAGAACTCATTCTAACTGATGAACTGAGTGCTTAGTCCACCCCCTGCCATCTGTGAGTGAACAGCACAGGGTTAAAATGTGGATGCAAGACTCAGCCAGCTAGGGTTTAAGTCTGCCTGCCACCTCTGTGACCTGGAATCAGTGAATTCACCTTAGTAAGCCTGTTTCCTTACCATTATGCAGACTAAGTGAACACATCCATGGAAAACTCAGCTCAGGGTTGGTCCATACTAGACACTCAAGAGTCTCATGTCATCTGCCAGCCCTGGTGACCAGATGGATATGGTACCTTCTGCCAGATTCTGCTGGGGACTGAGAAACTGCCACAGGCCAAGCACACCCTAGAGGCATTTGCAGGCATTTTTACTGAGCCCAGTCTCCTCAAGAGTGAGCTGTTGTCCAAATTCTCTCAGCCATCCTGGAAGTCAGGAGCCTCAAGCCACAGTGAAGCTAGGAACACACACATAGGCTGGACCCTTGGACAGAAAATATGCCACTTCAAAGGTGTCAGCTTGCTGAAGGGTGCCTGCTTACAGAGATGGTGTAGGAGTGGGGTATAGGCTCAGAACCTCTTAGGAGAAAGAGAACTGTGGAGAACAAGCAACCCTTGCACAGTATCCTTCAAGGTTTTTGTAAAATGAATGTACAAGAAGAATACCCATACAACCTCCACCCACATCCATCAATTTGTCCCACTGAGTCCACTGGTCTGTGCATAATCCCCTATTTGAAAAGCAGTTGGCTATATCCCCCAGGAGCTTAGCCTTCCAAGGGTACCACACAGGTTCATCTCCAAAAACAGCTGGACCAGACCCCATCTGAGTGTCTGCACAATGCTGTGGTACATGAGGGAGTTGCCCCATTGCCTGAGGTTCACTGCTGGCTCTTGGTGACCCCTGGCCCTATGATCTGACTCTTCATCTGAAGTCTTGGTTTTCACCCCACCTGCTCTCCCTGAAGTAGAGGTATCCAAGGCCACCTGCACACACCCAGGGAGCTTAGGGACACAGTTCTGTTGTGTTCATACCACGATGCAGGTGTCCCCCACCCCCACCCCATTGCTGAGGTGCCTGTGCAGGTCTGCAGTTAGAAGCCTCTGGACCTTTACAAGTGTGGGACTGTGCAGAAAGACATCCCTCAGCTACAGGGGAAACCCTGTCTAGACTAGGAAGGTCTGGGGTATTGGAGGAGGCAGGTGATAACCCCTTCCCTCATCACACTGTGAAGTAGTTGGCTTTGAAATTAATGGGTCAGTTAACTGGGCCTGAAGCTGAGCCAGTTTTCCCCAGCATGATATCAAGCATCTCACCCTGGCCTGGACAGACACAGAATCTCCGGGTGGTCCCAGGCAACCAAGGAAAGACCCTCCCTGATCCAGGAAGGATCCTCACCATTCAAGAGTCAAAAAGTAGAGAATCAGTGTTCTTAGCATCTTGTATGACTTCTTTTAGTAATGTTTTCATACTTCCTGAGCATATTTACATAGACGTTTAAATTTTTATTTTTTGTATTTAAGCTCTGGATCCTCCTGGATCCACATTTTCTCATGTGGATAGTCACGTCCCCCAGCTCCACGTATTCTCTTGTCCCTTCATTTTCTACCTTGTAAACAGTACAACTAGCCCAAAGGATTCTGATTCCTCCTTAGTGGGAGGAATCAGAACTGGCCTGGCCCAGCAGTTCTCAGAGTCCCCGAAGTGGACCAACCCCCTTTTGTTTTAGGTGGTGGGTGGCTCAGGGGCAAGGAGACAGGTGGATTGGCAAATCAGCTAAGCCACTTCAGTAGTGCTCTGAACAGACTATTTCACCTCTTTAAACCTCTGTTTATCGGTAAAATGAGGGTTTAAAAAGGCACCCAGCTAGTGTGTAGGTGAGGGAGGAGTGAGACCAGGCCTGGGAAAGCATTCTGCATGGTGCCTGGGACACCTGATGTTGTTACCTGTGTGTCTTCATCTGTACATGAAAACACTTAAACATGACTGGCATCTCCCCCTGGGGGTCTGAGAAGGAGGGGGCAGTGCTCCCCAGGGTCTGGCATCTCACCAACTCACAGCACACTTCTTTGGCAGGTGCAGAGCTACATGGAGCACTACTGCAACAGCTCCACAGACCGGCGGGTTCTGCACATGTTCCTGGACATCTGTTCTGAGCTGAATGGGCTCTGCCAGCAGTTTGAGGCCTTGCATTCAGGCACCCCGGTCACCAACAACCTCCTTGAGAAATGCAAAACCCTGGTTAGCCAGAGCAATGACTTGAGCAGCCTCAGAGCAAAGTAAGTTCCTTCTGATCTTACCAGTGAGGCCTTGGTGCCCGCAAGGGGGAATGCCTTCACCAAGAGGTCAGGAGACTCTGACCTGGTTCTTTTCCCTATAACATGGCTCTCTGTTAACTGTCCAGACTTCCTAGGAGGGAAATCCTAGTCCTCATTAACCTATTGGTTAACTGCCTAGTGATGCCTAGTCTTGGACACAGTAGGATACAAGAGGGAACTTTTTTTTTTTCTTAGCAGCAATGGGGTTTGAACTCAGAACATCACACTTACTAGGCAGGCACTCTACCACTTGAGCCACTCTACCAGCCCCCACAGTAGGACACAAAGTGTCTCCCTGGACTTGGGACCAAGCCAGAAAAAAGGTGGCCCACAGCACAGCCCACCCAATGCTGGGGGCTTTTTAGTTGTTAGGTAAGAGGACCCGAAGGACTAAGCAGTGTATTTTGAAAAGATGGCAACACGTTCCTCAGCAACTAATCCTGTGCTCCTGCAAATGACAGCTGTCAGTAGTTGGCAACTTCTGCCTTCCACACCAGAAATCCCTGGGGCTCTTGGCACCTCCAGTCTGCTGAAACACACACAACCTGTGGACACAAGAGTCCAGCCTAAGTTGTCCTGGGGTGCCTGCGCCCATGGCAAGCCATTGCAGCGTGGCTCGCCACCCTGCCTCACCACCCCGCAGGTACCCACATGATGTGGTGAACCACCTGAGCTGTGACGAGGCCAGGAACCACTACGGTGGCGTGGTCAGCCTCGTCCCCATAGTCCTGGACTTAATGAAAGAATGGATCGCCCACTCGGAGAAGCTGCCCCGCAAGGTGCTGCAGCACGTGAGTGCACCCTGGGCTCATCAGGAAGCCACTGCAACAGCGACCTGGCCTTGGTTAAGGAAACCCAAGTGTAGGCAGCTGGCAAAAGACAGCCTCAAACTGAGGGGGAAAGACAGGTGTTCAAAACCTCCCTGGAGGCCACCTGGTGGGAAATTGTAACGCACAGCCAGGGGCCTGCTCCACTGGTAGGGGGCGCTGTCAATTAATTTGGCTTCTACTGGTTGATACAATCTCACTGGCACCCATAGTCCCCACCATTAACCCCAACGGGGGCCAATACATTGTTGAGACTCTTGCTTTCACTTCTAACTTTCCGCCTCTAAGCTCTGTGCTGGTGAAAAGGAGTCCCACTTACCAAGTTGCTCAAATGGTGCCATTGGTAGAGGGTGTTCCAAGAGGGTGCTGTACTGATGCTCAGGTCCTCCATGAGCCAAGGCCACCACAGTGCCTGGTCTACACACACTGTGGCTGCATTTTGGAGAGGGGCTTGCTTAGCTCCTTGCCCCGACAGTGGTGGCTGGAGGTGAGGCATAAGATCTCTCTGTGGGACAGGAATGCTCCCAATCCCAAAATGGAGAGCGGGTCAGCAAGCTGAGCTCCTCAGTGTTCAGCAACCTGTGCCAGAACAAAGGGGTGGACCCACCTCTCTCCCTGTCATACTAGGGAAGGGAGACCATGATGCAAGCCAGAAGAATTCTATTTTGTGGCTCCTCAGCCAAGGACATTACCCTGGGTTTACAGCTTAGTCAAGGCCAAAGCACTGTAATACGTGTGGCTGGCTTCTAAGCTTGCCAGATGTAAGTCTGACGGTTGATTCTTCCCTTCGCAGGGGACGACTTAGCTTCTGTATTGTTGCTTCCTCGAGGGGAGACAGTCAAGAATAAAAAGTGTTCTATCACCTCTCCGCCTGGCTTGGTTTTCTAGGATTTATCCCTCAAAGAAAACCTGCGTTTGTCCTAAGACATAAAAGGACAGTGGGTGGTAGCCACACAAGCAGGGCCCCTTGCAGACAGCAGACAAGTGAGCACCCACCTCCAGAGGGCTCTGCCTCTAGGAGGTCATGCCACAGGTCCATAGAGGGCCAGCCTGTAGACATATCAAGGCTGCAAATCAACTCCTTGTCTAGTGAAACACCTATTCAGACAAAATCCCCTGAATTTTCCAGACAAATTAGACCGCCACCTCAGAGTCTTTGTCTCAAAGGAGCTGTTCCTGCTGTTAAGACAGGCAGCACAGTACTGAATTCCAGACACAGCTAGGCAGAGACAAGCACCAGAAAACCACATTGTGATGCAGCCCTTTCCCAAAAGTCCCAGGCCAGGCAGTCAGGAGCCAGGGTGGATCTCAAAGTCATGTAAAGGTCATTTCCCACCTTCTGCCAAATGACCAAAGGGCAAGGAACGAGGTGGAGAGCAGGTGGTAATGGCAGTTGCTCTGTCCCTTGGCATATACATGAACACAGCTAGCGATGCTCAGGGATAGTGAGTTCTCAACAAATTAAATGTTCTCTGGGTTCCACCAAAAGGATTCCATGAAACCTGACCTGGCTGGCCCCTTGGATGCAGACACACACAGCCAGTGCAGACCCACAGCTGTCTGGCTTTCAAGGTTTCTCTAACAGAGATGACTCAAGTCTCCCCCTCCACACAGGCCACTCTTTGGAGAGGAGCACGAACTTGAGGTAGATGAATTATCTGTACACTGGATAATTTGTCAGAATATAAAGGCTCTTACAGAGACTAAACTAGAACCTGTTTACTTGTTCACACCCTCCTCCAACCACCCAGATAGCCACTGCAGACCCAAGGTTTCTGTATCTTTGGACTACTCCTTAACTCCAGCAACAAGCCCCCTAAGGCCAGCATAAATCACTCCACATCACCTCAGCAGAGTAGTGCAAAACAATAAATTTTTATTTGTTCACAGTTAAACACAAGCAACTGCCTTGACATTTCAGAACATTCTAAGGACAGCGAACCCTTTGATTCCAACTCCCATTCACTGAGATTGTACCATGTTCTCTTGCAGTTTGCACTTATGGCATCTGATGTGGATTATTTGACATGCTTTTACGATCAAGGTGGGAAAGTTCAAACCTTTGGAAAAGAGGTGACTTCCTTCCATTTCACTAAAAGCAGTCAGTTTAAAAAATCTGGTTCTTATCACTGATGGGACCCCTTTAAACTGCAAGTGAGCCACATACGGTTCATCCATGATTGAGTTATAAAGCTAGATTATGTCTTAGCAAAATCTGTTTCTCCGTAATGCATTTGTGGTTCATAGAAGTCTTCTGAAGAGTAATCACTGATTCTTCCTAGTGCAAAATTCCTGCTGCTTCTGTTTAAGCCAGGGTGTGGTGCACAGAGCAGCTCGAACTCTTCCATTCAAACACTGTGTGAGGTGGGGAAGCAGGGGGGAGGGTTTGGTCTGCGGTCCTTGAACTCCTGGGTCTCCTCTAAAAGATCTATGCCAATGGCTAAAACCAGCCTATTTATCCTAGAGGGTGAATAATGTTGAAGCACGGGGAAGGGGCACAGAGCTCCTTGGTCTTCATTAACTCATTTTGAGACCCAAACTGTTGGGGGTGCAGGTTTCTCTAACAGCTGCAGCCCCTCTTCTCTCAGACTGCAGGGCAGTCCAGAAAAGATGGGAAACATAATTTCCAGGGCACACTGGGGAGTTACAGATGTAGAAACAAGCCACATGGGAACAAGGGTCACAGCAGGGATCAGTCCCTGACCTAAGCTTGTTCTTTTACCTACAGAGAAAAATTAAATCAAGGACAATCAATGACTACAGCAATCTGGGAGAGGGGACAGGGCAATGCCATATACTCCCAGATGTAAACTGATACACAAACATCCTCTGACTGGATACATTTTCCAACCCTCACTACAGGTCACTTTTAGAGCATGGACCTTGGGAGTGAAGATGCAGCAGATGGATGTGCCATCTGGGTCACTGTGGGCAGAATAGCTTACTTCCCAGTGAGGCAGATTCTGCCTGTTGGGGCCAGGCTTCTTCCAGGACCACTCTCTGAGAGCACCCAAGAGGATGGTAACACTTCATCTGCACTGCAGTGTAAGCCAAGCCTGTGCAGTGCCCTAACCCTCCTCCAGCCTGCTCACAGTGCTTCCTGCCCTTACTGCTCAGTAAGGACTTTCCTTTGCTCTTCAGTTCTTTCTGGCTTCACACGGCAGGTTCTAATGTTTGGTGGAAATTCCCATTAGCTGATCACAGCCCATTTTGGTTGTTATTCAGCTTTCTATCCTTACTGCCAATCTGAGCGATGCGGTCCAGTTCACAGATCCTTCCATTCCATGGCCACTATGGGTATCCTCTGAACAACTGCTAACATTTTCTCTCTGCACAAAAGCACTGGGAACTCCACATGCCTGCAAATGGCCAGAGCCTGGTATTTGCTGCCTGTTGTGCTGCTTCTGCTCTGGGAGGCACTGGCCTTTGGCCACAGCAGCATGGGGGTGGGGACTAATTTTTCTAATTGTCAGTGGCTTCCAGGACTTTTTTCCTGGGTGGTGACAGTTTACCTTCTAAGAATAGTTTGGATTATTTCCCCCAACCACATCACATACAGTAAGAACCTTCTACAGCATACTCCCAAAGGTTTGGCAGTGTTCTTTCCTGAAAGCTGTCTGCAAACCTGGAGAGGTCACTGCCCACCCGCTCTTCCAAGCACTCAGCTTCCAAGATATCTCCTAAAATTTCCTGAACTAATTTTCTCATGTTCATAACCACATATTTCTCCTGCTCCCGCAGTAACACATTTTATAAACTTCCTGTGGAGGTTCTATCAGAAAGAGGTGTGTTGATGGACTGTGATAAGTTCAAGAGCTCCTTTTCTGGGCATCTTCCTCCACCACCTTCCTGCTTCTCCCCACCCCCAAATACTATTGCAGAGCTCATTTTAAACACAGTCCATGCTGGAGACACAGACCCCAGGCTTTTTGGGGCCTGTCTGATGCCAGTCAAGGGGAATCTGGGTAAGTTACGCACACTGACCACCACAGCACTGGCTCCTGGTGATTTTAAGACAGAGGCTGTCCAATTCCAACATTCTACCTGACTGCTTAACCAGTTTCAAAGCTTGTCTTGCCCATTACACCAATTGTTCTGGTATCTTTACCCAGGCCTCAATTGCTTGTCTGGAGCTCCAATCACTGCTTGCAGAACAGTCAAGTGACCCACTGACCTTAGGCAAGTCTATGGCCCTCAGAACAAAAGCAAGTCTTATTATTAACCCTCGAGTTCTTCTAGACAAAAAATACTTAAGTTTTTAGGTTGGGCAACTTCACCATGACTCTAGGTCTCAATTCCCCAATCTTAGTTGAAAAAATTTTATAGCCTCCTAGAATTCAAAGGAGCCCTAGCTGAGCACACCAGGTCTCCTGGGTTGTACAGTAGTAGACGGACACTAGAAAGGAGTACTGTGTCAAGAGCTGGCGTAGGGAATGCAGAGTCTCAAGCCTACACCTCAGTCCATTTTACCATGCTGCCTCCTTCCTTTCCTATGTTTCACCATCCATCCATTTTAAAGTGTTCTTTTCTTTCTTACATTGGCCTCCTTTCCTTTGCCAGTTAAGGAGAAGGCTTTGTTCTGTGGCGCAAATCTTTGGGCCCCGGAGGGGGAAAGCACTTAAAACCAGTTTCAAAAGCTAACCTGTAACATTTTTCTTTCCTTCCTGAATTTGTTCATACTGTCCTTTCCTAAATCCAGGAAACTAAGATATATTGGATTTTAAGCTTTCCTTTGGACAAAGCTGAATTAAAAGTGTAGCACTACTAATATTCCACCCTGGATATCCAGTGGCAATGGCCGGGTGTCAGTCAGTTACACCTGAAATTCTGGCCTCAAAGGGTCTTTAGCTCAGTGGTTGCCATGGTGACATGAAGTCTCAAACTGTCTGGTTGCCTTTATAGTTAGACATACTAGGATATTTACTGCCACACTTAAGGAAAAAAAAAAGACTTTCACCCTCACATACTGGAAGCTTCCATATGCAGAAAGATTTCGTACCATTACAGTTTCTTTAACGTCTTCGTGGCTGAACCCTTCTATTCTTTTTACATAAAGAATAGAAACAGGAAAACTAAGCTCACTGGCTTTTTTCCTGCCAAGTCTCTCTTTGCCTGGGCTGGAACACCAGGCAACAATTCTTAGGCTTCTAGCATTTATTTCAGGAGCATGTGCTGAGTTTGGATTATCTGCTGCCACCAGTGTTCTGACTGGTGTCACCTGGTGATCATATGGGGCAGCCCAGTGGGTGCAGGCATTCAAGACTTCATCAACACCCTCCTGGCCTCTGCTGAGTTGCTCCGCCATTCCTAACACAAGAAAGTGTGACAACGTGCTCCAGGAGAGTCGGTCCTAAAAGTCAGAACTGGTGTGAAAAGCTGCTACCTTTTTGGTGGCCTGGAACCTAATACGAAGCAACCCCCCAGCCTGGGAAATGATGGTCACATAAGCTCAAGAAATGCCGAACCTTCACAGCCTTTTGGCCGCGTGTCACAAAACAGCTGACACAAACAACAGGTGCATGTGAACTCAAGGGAGTCAAACAGGTCAAGGGTTGAACCAATGGCTAGCTAGACGAGACCAGCCCAGAGGTGCATTTCCACATATGCAAGACCTTCTAGAGCACCTCTCCAAGTGACCACTACTTGTTGTCTACAGAGAACAAGACTACCACCTACACTCATCTGTGGGCAGCTTGGTACCAGCTTTTAAGCCTACACCAAATAAATAAGAGGTAGTGGGGGAAAGAAGGACAAAAGTTTTCCCAAAGGGCAAGGAAGTGTGGCCTCCACAGTGCCAGCTAGACTGCTGAAACAATGGGCATTTGTTCAAGCACAACTTTCCAGGAAGCTTATCAGAACCACCAAAAGAATGTAAGGGCAAATGAACCACTGTTTTTCTACATCAACTGCTTTAGATGCTGAACTTCAGAACCAAAAAGCAGTGAAAAGTCTCCTGTAAAAGCTTTCACATGAAGACAGCTTTGCAGGCTACGTCCTCCTAGGAGAGACAAAATTGGACTTACCTGCAATGCCACCAACTGTCTGGTCTAACCAAGAGCCACTCAGTTATCTGAATTTCAGGAAAGCAGAGAGTGGTGTGTTGGACTCAAAGATGAAATTTGGCCTCATATTGCACAGGTTCAAAGGACTCAACCATTTGAGGGGAAAGGAAAATAAAGCTACTGAGGAACACACACTGGCCCTCAATTAGTACACACTGCTAGGTAAATGAAAGATAGGTTTGGGGGTGAGTTGAGGGGAAGGTTAAGAGGCATTTCAGTGTCAGATCTAAAAACCATTCTGAATTCGGTCAGCTGTCCAATGGACCTCTGTCCCATTTCCTCTGTGTGAGAAGCCACTCAGACCCTGGAAACAGGAGAGCCTTGAACATGCATTCACACTTCCTGTTCTATGCCAACAAGATGCGAGTTAACACTGACTGGCCCTCCTCCTTAGCTGTGTTCAAGATGAGTCTCATTGTAGTCCATGATACGGAGCTGCCCAACACTGTCCGGGGTTGGGGGAGATGGGTGAGGGCCGTCTAGGTTCAGGGGACTCTGGACTTCCATACCCAAGTCTTTGCCCAGTTCTGTCTTTAGAGTCTCAGAAGGGCTACTGATGGTCATGCTGTCCTCATCACACTGGCTCTCGCTCTTATTACGAAACAGCTCTCGGGCCTTCATGCCCAGGAAGCTTTTGGAACTGGGAAGTGAACCAACAGTTGTAGGGATGCTGGTGGAGGGCTCGCCCACAGAAGTTTCCCACCGACTGCTGAATGGGCCTGCTCTCTGGCTTGTGGGTTTCTCTGGGGTAGAAAGCTCACTGCTGCTGCTGCTGCTGCCTCCAGCTCCTTTAGCTCCACAACTGCCTCTGGTACCACTGGGTCTGAGGGTCTTGGTCTCACCATTGTGCCCAGATGCCTCTTCATTGTGCCCTAAATCTGAGCAGCCGTCATTACAACAGTCAAGCCTGTAAGATATCCAAGAAGGAAAAAAAGAGCTGATAACTGTGGCACCCAGGTGGGAAATGTGGGATTACCCAGACACTTGCTCCCAATGAACTTGAACTCTGCCTGCTCTGTTTTATAACAGCAGACCCAAGCAAGAGTCTCATTAAGAGAAACCTGAGTCACAGCTAGGGATCCTGGATGGCAATATGCACTATGCAATGCAAACAGCAGATCAAGTGACTCAAGGCCAAGAACTGAAAGTGGGAAGACCACTGGGCAGGTGAGGAAAGGTAAGCAAGGGCCATTTTCTGAAAGGAGTAAGCTGTGCATCATAGCTCTGACAGGTATAAATGCCACTTCCAAGGCCAGTAAACACAGTCCTAGCTCTGCTAGTGGCAGCTTCATGGCCAAGGCCATGGTGTAACTCTTGCTCCTACCTTTCTTCCACTGCTTCCACTGCTTCTGCTTTTTCCTCTTCGAGTTTTTGTAGGAGGTCATCTTTCTCCAACCTGCCATACAAGTCTAAGATCTCCAACTCAAACACCCGGGTGATCCTTTTTTGAGCCTCATACCTGCTCTCTGCAGCCAGCAGTTGTTCACTGAAAGATACAGACACACCCAGAATACAGGAGGTTCCACTTCATAAAGAGTCCATCACTGCCCATCCTTTCCAATGAAAGTTACCTTGCCTGGCTCTTGACATCCTCCAGATATTTCTTCTGTTCCAGAAGAAGGTGGTCTTTCTTGGCCAGAAGAGATTCCAGTTCCAAAATCCGTTTCTGGGAGGTATCGAGCCTCTGATTCTGCTGGAGAACATGGCTTCTGTTCTTTTCTAGTTCTTTGCGATATGCGGCTTTCATCATTTCTACTTCCTAAAAAGAAAGGATTGGTGTTAATAGAAAATGAACATGCCTTATCCACTCCAAAAAACAAAACAAAACAAAACAAACATCTCCATAAGCATCAAGAAGGCATGGTACACAGAAGAAATATGAATGAGGACAACGTTCTAGAAAGCAAGCTGGTAAGGCATTAACACAGTGAGCCTTCCTTGAGATCTATCCCTAAGGAAATCATCTAAAACACGAGTAGATATTTTGTATGATAATCACCACAGCAAATTTATAAAAGTAAAAATCTAGAAACACACGAAGTCTAATGTCAGAGAAGCAATTATGTAAAATATATCATATTTTTCTAAGGAGATGGTATCAGTCAAAAGCAGGTGAGAAAATTGTATGAATGGTATGGTTAACCATGCAAATATACACATTCACAACACCCAAATGAAATATGCCAATATTCCCAGCCAAAATCTTAATTTGGTACTATTGTAGGTCATTTCATTTCTTTTTAACCTTTCTCCCTCTTCTAATATCAGCTGAGGCAAAGTTAGAGAAGGTAACACAATGGAGCAGGTTTGTCCAAGAGAAGCAACACTTGTAGGTTGAGTCCCCTGACAGGTCTGTCAACCATGCCAAGGCAGATGGCTGGCCTGCAGCTATAATACTTTTCTAACAGCATGTTACATCTGCAGGCCCTTGCATGTGGGTGTTTACTGTGGTACAACAAAAAAGTTGCCATACATTTATCTTTCAGAAAGGTAATAAACCCTACGGAACAAGGAGGTAAGTTTTCACCAAGGCAGCCCAGCCTTGAAGCTGACCGGTAAACCCAATGTTTCCAGGGTGTAGAAAGCAACAGACTGAAGCTCTGTATTGGCTGGCAGATAACACAGCCATTCCAGCTGGGCTGAATGGCTCCAGACTTCAGCACAGGCTATGTGAACATATCTGACTTTTGTCATAAGCAACAACCATCAGCCCTCTCCATCCATGGACTCAAGTAACCCTAAGCGGAAAATATTTTTAAAAACTATAGCTGTACTGCCAACATGTAGACTTTTTTTCTTGTGATTAGGCCCTAAATAATACAGTTTAACAACTATTTACATACCATTTATACTGCATTAGGTATTTATGTCATCTAGAGATGATTAAAGTAGGTATGAAGAGATGCATGGGTTATATGCAAATACCATGCCATTTTATGAGGGACTTAACTATCTGCAAATGTGGTTATCTGTATGGGCTCTGAAACCAATCCCCCATAGACACTGAGGGACAACTGTACTTATTTATGGGTAATCACACAAGGTATCGAACCAGGAAGGCCCATGAATTCTTAGTACTCCTCACCAGCCCAAACAGTCCTTCTCCACCTGACTCTTAAGACAACTGCCCCTCCTCCTCTACTGGCCTAAACAAGAGAGTAACCCCAGCTCCAGGCCCAGAGGCAAATCCTGGCTGGCTCAAGGCCATGACAGGGCTGTAATGAGCACCACTCAATTCTAGCCAACAAAGGAAATGGGAAATATGCAGTCTCTGAGAAAGGTTTCTTAACTGAGAGAGACTAGTAGGAAGAGACACTCTCCTCTTCCTTGGGACATCGTAGTATCTGCATGGGTCTCCCCGCACAAGGAATACACACCTGATAACTATGAGTGTGGTACCCGAAGGACAAAGCTGACAGAAGGAACGGAAAGAGCTGCCTCCCTGATGCTGTCCCTGAACTGCCAACTTGACCAACCTGGAACTCACCTGCCTTGGGAATTCTTGTCAAATCAAACAACCAAATTCCTTGATAAGCCAGTGTAGTTTGTTTTCGATTGTGATTTACAACAGAAGGCACCCTGACTAAAACAAGACAGCATCATCACCCCTGTTTATGAACTGTGAAACAGGTCCCACAAAGGAGATGTGGCTGATCAAGATCCCAGAGTTTGAAGATGCCAAACAGAAGCCCATCCCACAGAAGCCTGTCTATCTACACTTCTCTCTGGAGGTGTCAAAAACATGTTTCAGCAAGTTCTTTCGGTGGTCTGTTCACCACCTTTCTTCTCCCAAAACTATTTATAAGTGACAGTTGGTTTCTAGAGAAAGTTCCACTTTAACTTCCTTCCAGAGGGAGTCTGAATCTGAGGCTGAAAAGAGCTGAGAAAGAGCAACTCAACTATGAAAATTACGTATTCCCAATTCTAAGATGACTCTCTCCATTTGGTCAAAAAAAAGACACTTTACAAAAGTATAAGCCCAAGAAATCCTAAAGGCCCATGTGTGATGGAGGAGCTAGTGACAGGAAGTGTCTGAGAATTTACTATTAAAATTCTACTCCCAACTCCTTCACTAACATCACCCGAGGCTATTGGTAAAGTGACACGAAACTTCTGTCTCAACACCACTGGCGAGGCACTAATTAACGTACAAGCATCTCATTGCTGGCCTTGTTGCCAGGACTGAAGGACCATAGGTAGAAACTAGATTCAACATGAAAAGGAGGAAAAGATCATACATATACTGGTGTGCACCAGTACACACCACCCAGTCCTGAGAGGCACGTTTGAAACAGAATGGGCTCCTGTCCTCTTCTCTTCCCCTTTCTCTCTGAAAGGAAATGGGGAAGTGAGGGAGAGAAACACCTTCATACCTGCTCTGCAGCAGGACTCCATTTCAAAGCCACCCAGCAAGGGGATACATATGCAATCACTTGATGGCTGGACAGTTTGCATTGCTAGACCCAGGGGAAATGGAGACACTGCCATTCGGTCTTTTGGGAAGCAATTCACGAAGCCGCTCTATGTGACATGCTGCCTGGATCTTCAGAGCTTTTCCACCTCTATGCCCCGCCCCCGCCCTCCTGCCCACAGGGCAGCATACCTTTGTGGTGTCTGAGTGCTTGTTCTGCAGTTGTTCCAAATACAGCTCGTTGACCTCCCCAAGCACCAACAACTGCCTGTTCAAGAACTCCATCTGCTGCTGGACCGACTCACTATTTGAGAGCTAACCAAAACATGTAAGTGAAAATTCAACACCATAAAACTAGCAAATGGGCATTAAACAGGGAGCCTGCAAGGAGCACAAGAGTTCAAAGCTACGGCAGAATAAACAACTCCCATGGTTTCCCATTCCCTGGTGTCAGGGCTAGTGGGGAAGAAGGCACCCAAGGGGAACAAAAATGTATAGAACTGCACTTCCAATGGCTGTGCAAAAGCACACATGCACTCCGTCAAAACTGACCACTCACAAGACACTGGAGCAGAGGGATAGGTCATGGGATAAAGATCCAGGGGAAATTACCTATTCTTGAGTAAGTGACAGAGAGTTCACCTGATTTCAAAGGGGGGGTTTTACAGCCCCAAAACCTTAACAAACTTTTGACATTTATGTGTGCAAAGCAGTAAGAAAGGGTTCCACAGACCATCTGTGGCCCAGGGCTCAGTGGATATCTTGGTGCTATGGGGGCTATTTGTGCAATGAAGGTATCTGGCAGCACCCCATTTCCTAACCACTCACTGCCACTAACAACAAAACTGTCGCTAGACATTGCTAAGTGTCCCCCAGAAGGTGGGAGGGGGGTAAAATCGCTTCCTGCTGAGACTCCAAAAGAGAGACACCCAAGTAATGTACCTGTCCAATCTGCAGGGAGAGAGTCAGCAGGTGGTATTTCAAGTCTTACCTTTTGAGAAACCTGACTGAGCAGCAGCTCGGTGTGACACACCTTGTTGTTGGCCTTTTTCAGCTCTATTCGCAGCTCTGCGATCATGTTCCTGCAGTCTTCCAGCTTTGTCTACCCAAAGAGATGTGTATGTGAAATTACGGCAGCAATGGCAGGCCAGACCACCAGTCTGTCTGGCCATCCACCCATGCAGATTTGGGAACGCCCCATTCCTCAACTGCTTTCCTTTTCTTTAGTTTGCTGCATTTGACTTGTTTTGTTTTTGAGATTAGGGACTGTAGCCCAGGTTGGCCTCAAACTCACAATCCTCCTGCCTTAGCCTCCTAAATTCTGGGCTAACAGTTGTGAACCACCAAGCCTGACCTATTATTTGACTTTTTAGTTTTAAAAAGTCATGGTTGATTTCTGAGTCCCTTATTATTTTAACAACAGGAAAAAAAAAAAAAAGAAGACCTGATGGCTGCAGTTCCCAAACTGTGTGCCAAAGAGCCCTGGGGCTATGCACAGGGATGTTTTGCTTTTTTGAGGGACACAGCGCCATCTGTGGGACATCATGTGAACTACCAACTAGCTGGAGGTGATGGGCGGGTCAGCAGATGTTACTGTATGCTGTGGATGATGCCTTATCTTGGGAAACCTGGTACTTGGTGACTACTATGACAAAAAAGCACTGTGAGAAACCAACGGGAAATAGGAAATGAGGGTTTCTACTGTATACTCTGATTCCAAACTCAAGATACTGTGTAGTACCAACAAGTTCACATGGTCTGAATAATTAGTTATTTCAAAATGAAATTTAAAATAGTTTAAATGTATGTGTATTATTTTCAAACAGCTATTAAATCATTGAGACATCAATACTCATTGAGTTGTTCAGATCTACTTAATTAGTGAAACTGTCAAATGTTTCATTTTGCTTGAAAGTGCTAGGCACTAAGGGAGCTAAGAATGGTTTTGGGTTTTTTTTGGTGGTATGGGATTTGAACTTGGGGCTTCACGCTTGCCAGGCAGATGCTCTACCACTTGAGCCATTCTGCCAGCCCTTCTTTTGTGTGAGTATTGTCGAGATACGGTCTTGCAAACTATTTGCTGGCTTTAAACCTTGATCTTCCTGATCTCTGTCTCCCCAGTAGCTAGGATTACATAGGTGTGAGTGTCCAGTGCCCAGCTAAGATCAGTAAGATCTGACATGAAATATACCTGCCATTTCAGAGAGCAAAGTATTCATCTCAGTTATGCCAAACAAGGTGACAACACTTAACATTTCTGCCACCTCTGGGTTGCTTCATTCCTTCTCATGCCTGATGTGCAGTTTTTACCTGCAATTCCTGGCTCTGGTTGTAGAATTCTTCTCGGTCATGTTGTAGCTGTCTGATCTGGCTGTGCAGCTGGGTCACCACAGTGTCACGCTGCTCCTGAAGCTGACTGTATCTGGCTTGCTCTTTCTGCAGACTCACCTTCCATATCTGGATATCTTTCTCTTGTAACTTCAACTGATCTTTCTGGCAAAGAGCAGAGATACTGTCACTTTAGATACCATCCAATATGGGTAGTGATGCTTGAGACTAACACACACTGTGAACATATCCTCAGCAGTCATGTACCACTTTGGGACCCAGAGTCTGAGGGCTCTCTACAGTCCTACTTGGCTTTACATCAAGGTTTTCCAGATCTCATGTTAGCAAATGGATCATTAAGTTGCTAAAAGAAATTTTTTCAGGCATCAGTTTGCTTCCAATGCTTTCATAAGTCCTCACCACCCGACTGGAGAAGACCTCTAACACATGGCACTGATTACGTTCACTACAATGCTGTGCCTTTACCTAATGCTACCATGTATGCCCTGCATGGATCCAGTGCGCACTGACAGGACTTCTTTTGACCATCACAATTTACAAAGTAGGGGCTATTATTATTGCTGTTTTATAGAATGAGTAACAAGGCTTCAAAAGGCCTAATTACTTCTTTAAGATAACTGGTAGAGCCAACATTCAAACTCCAGGTCTGACTGGCTTTACACCCATGACATCATACATGCTTCAAGTCTGTGCCATGAAATAGCTTTAAGAGAGCTGGCTTCACACTGGGAGAAACAGATACTCTTTTGGCCCTTTTATCATCATAGGCAATTGAAAGCAACACAAAAGTCACTTGCCCCCATGGTTTCTGAGAGTTGCAAGGGAATTCTGAGATCTGGCACATGTGAACCTCAGAGACAGTGAACTTGACTGGGCCTAACAACTCTGACCTTGACTGGCTGTTGCTCTTTACAGGCTGCCTACCATCTGATACAACGCACAACAGTAATGAAGCCCACTGCCCCATGCTCACCATAGCAGCATTGTGTTCCTCCAGAGCAGCTGCTCTGATCACCTTTCTCAGGAGCCGCCTGTTCCGAAGAGCATGTTGTTGCCTCTTAAAACGCTCGTAGTGTAACTGGTTGTGCAGTAAAAGCAACTGGTCTCGGAGGGTGCGGATCTCATCTGAGGGAGGAGAACCTGATTTTAAAAGCAGAGGGAGGGTGGCAGAAATACCTTTTACACATGGTTCCATGAAGCCCCTTCCCATGTGCCTTAGCTTAAGAAAAGCAACTCTATCAATAACAGTACTCTGCAAATGACCACTTGGGTCCCAGCAAGAGCCACTGTTAGGAGAAGGGGAAGAATTTTCTAGCTGTCTCCCTTTTAAAAGAATGCAAACATTATGCAATGGGAAGACGGTTCTAGGACTAGCTTTCCTTCCCCCTCAAACCTGAACATACACAGATATTGCAAAGTCCCTTCTCTGCAGATGCTTCTTCACTCCTTGTGACGAAGTCTCCCAGAGAGACTCCCTAGCACATTCATGTCACTTAGTCTTTTCTAGGGAAGCTTGACATGAAGTCTGCACTTCTTGTATTTCTTCTCCCAAATGCACGGTACTTGTTTGCCACTTTTCAAAAATAGGAAATGCTGACTTTGCAACACTTAGGGTTCTTCCACCAAGCAGATTAGCTGGTTGGAGCAGGAGCCAAGGAGAGATGCTCCCTAGGGGCATCTCCTTCAAGGACAGCAAAAGGGGCAAGCAAGCAGGAACCAATGGAGCTGGATGTGGTGCTAGATTAACAACTTTACCTCCAAAATGGGTCCAGTCCACAGACTTGCTGGGTAAGGACAATCTGGGAAGAAAATTTGGGGATAACGAAGTTAGTGATCTGACCTAAAAAAAACTTATCTGGACTTTTAATTGCAGCAAGATTAAATCACTTCCTTGTCAGAATCTGCAACTGCTTAAGAAAATTTCAAACTCCAAGTCAGCACGGAGTGGAGGGGGGAGTCTCACTAGACAGAATGGATACAGAATGGAGTAGACAGAATGCAGCATCTGCTGCATGTGACCAAGTCTCCACAGAAAAGGAGCTGTAGTACAAACCTCCCCACCTCAGTTGTGGTCTCGGGTTTAGCTTGCCAAGGACACTGAGGGGGAAAACACACTGCTACCACCCTTCTCTGAAGAAACTACTGTCACCCAAATGTAAGAAAAAAGCAAGTCATTTGTCATCCAAAGTATTACACCAAACCTCATTTAAAAGAGGAAGTTTAAATATTATAATTTCTATCAAATTCCACCTTAGGATATTATTAGCAAAAAGATTAAAAACTAAGAATCCCCAAGAACCTGTGTGGAAATGATAAAGGATTCCAACTCTGGACAGGTTAGTGCCTTATCTTTTCCCTGGAATACTCTGAAAAGGGTAATAGAAGATCTGAAAACAGTGGCTCAGATTTCTAAGAAACCTGTGTGCCTTTATGGGGAGGAGCATCAGGCCACCCAGATTTGCATAAAATGATGGTTTGCTCTTCTATCTAATGACCTATTATCAAAACAGAAAAAAACAATCTGTAATTAGAGAGGAAATGCTGTGACATATGTTCCTACATTCTTTGAGGTACCATATCCTCATAGCCCTTTTTTTTTTTCTTTTTGGTGGTACTGGGGTTTGAACTCAGGGTCTCAGACTTACTAGGCAGGTGCTCTACCACTTGAGTCATGCTCCCCCAGACCTTTCTGCTTTAGTTTATTTTTCAGATAGGGTCTTGTGCTTTTGCCCGGGATCAGCAATGATCCTTCTACATCTGCCTCCCAAGTAGAGGGGATTACAGTCATACATCACCATGCCTGGCATAACCCCATTTTTAACCTCCAATTTTCAGAAAGCAAATGTGAACACATTTGAGTATTCTCACAGAATGGTGGCACAAAATGGCTTATATTAAAAAGATTCACTTTGAAACAAAAAGCAATCTAGGAGATTCTCCAAGTACAAGTGCCCATGCTCCCGGACATTAAAGGCAACAGACTGGACAGACATTGACAAGAACACAAGAGAACCAGCAGCCTCTGGGTATGGGCGGGAAGGACATTTCCCGCCCATACCCTTGTGCTTTCTGTGCTTCCTAATAACCAAGACAAGGTCCCACAGGCTTACTGACTTGTTCAGTTCCTTGCTGTGTGCGTCTGCTCCCTGCTGTATCAGCCTGTCCAGTACTTCCATTGGGGAGGTAGAGGGCACATAGTCTTCCTCAGGGCATCCTTTCACTTTCTTTAACAGCTCCTCGGTCTTCTTGCTGACAAAGTGACGGGCAGTCTTTGGCAAGGCCACCTCAAAGAGATGATCGTATGGGGGAGGTTGCCCACTTCCAAAGCCCACTCCCCTCCGAGGAGGAATTTTGCAAGGGCTGGGAGTGAGAATACTGGTCTCCAGAGAAGTCTGGCGGTCCCTATCCCCAGCTGGACTGATGTCAGCACTGCCACAGGGTATGTCAATGGGAGTAAAGGCTTGCTTTGGTGTATCGAGCCCACGCTTGTCCAGGGAGGAGGGTAAAGGCTCAGGGTTCACACTGGAGCCCCGAGTCCCAGACGATGCTGAAAGTGTCTTCCGCTGAGAACCAGGGAGACTGTCTCGGTAGAAAGGAGAGTCAAAGCCCCCTCGAGGAACCACAGGATCCGCCTCTGTGGTGGTGATCTCAGAAAGCTCTCTAGATATCGCCGCTGAAAGGAGGGCGGGAAACAAGGGAAGCCCTAGTAAATATTCAATCAGGACAAGTCTGCACAGCTTGGGATTTTGTGCTGCCAAATACCAGTGCTACCCACAAGGCGTAAAAAGTGGCATGCCTTTACCAGGCATAGGTCCTAGGAAAACACACCCACCTTTTACCGTAAGAGAAGAAAAGCCAACTAAGCTTGTGAGTGCTGACTCTAGACTCCATTCTGTGATAGAATGGGGATTGTGTTTCATCATCTCATAGCAATCCCACATACATTACCTTCTTCCTTATCTTTTTCAATACTGTCTTCCTCAGAGGCCAGATCACCTAAAAACACCGGAAGATCACTTAGAGTAACGGAACCTTTGCTTCCAGGTAGCTCTTCTGAAGAGAAACAGAGACAACTCAGGTCAAAGAAATACGCTATCCCTACAAGTGTAAAGATGCTATAATTGGACACATCTGTTATTCTTCCTGTTGATCAAAGAAGGCTGGAAATGACTCTCTCTCCTGGGGCTACTACAGAAGATTGAGATATTATAAATCATCTAATCAAAAATAATCCTACAGAAAATGAAATTCTCAAGCCTTAATATCTCTAGTTTGACCAGTTCAAAACATTTAAGAGGTACTTCAGGGCACTAGCTTAAAGATTTTTGATGTGATGATTAGGTTGGCTTTTGGAATTCACACACTTGTTTCATATCTTTAGACACTGATGTTTTGTGATTTCAGAATGTCCCTGTTTCCACCTAACATTGTTTTTAAACATGTATCATCCAATTCGAAGAGACAAGTGAGGTCTATCATTACCCAGAGAGTTTACCTAATCCTCTGTCATTCGGAAGATGGTGCTGCCTATGTAGACACGGCCTTGCAGAATCTGTTCTCTCTTCCTAAAAAGATAAGCACCATGTATATCACACACTGAAAAATGCTGTACACATTCTCTAGTATACAGCAAATGAGTTTAAAGATAGCCTAGTGTTCTCAAACTGCTTGATCTCACAATCTCTTTACCTTATTAAAAATATAAAGAATTCCAGGAGCTTGTTTTTGTGGTTACATCTGCTAATTGTTACTATATTAGAAATTAAAACAAACTTTTAAAAACTTAAAATAACGAATCTATAACGTTAATACATGTATTTTTATGAAAACCAATTATATTTTCTGTAACAACAATAAATTTAATAAGAAGAGTAGAACTGTTTTACATTTTTGCAGTCTCTTTAATATCTGGCTCAATGAAAGACAGCTACACTCTCCTATCTGCTTCTGCGTTCAGCCTGATATGTATGTTGTTTTGACTGAAGTACATGAAGAAAATTCAGAGCCTCACAAATATGTGCTTTCAAAAAGTAAACACACGCTAACACACTTTTCATATAATTGTGGCCAGTCATCTCTGGTGTCGCACTGAAACTTTACAAGGGATGGTTTCCTAAAAGCTATGTTACAATGTGAAATCTGAAACCATGGCAGCTTTCCATATGTGGGTCTACCTTGCCCTTTGAATGCAAGTTTCATCTCTGCACGATTCTGTAACATCATATATTGGACACTCACTACTTCAATAAGCCATTTAATTCCTCCAAATGTAACACTTCATTATACAGTAACAAAAAACCAAAATTATTAAGTTTTTCAAGACTTTTCAATCACTTCCTGAAAGTCTTAGGGAAGCTATCAAGCTCCTGGTGAAAGATATAAGTTTTTCAATATCCTAATTTTCACTTAAAATTTAAATTTTATCAGTGGCTATAAATTCTGCCAGTTGTTAACCTTGAAGTAACAGACTTGGTTCATCATTTAAGAAACTGCCTGTCATGATGAAACTCACCAAGCGCTGCCTGAAAAGGGGGAGAGATAGGGGACGAGAAATGGAAATATAATGGAGGAGTGAACTTTTCAAACTACACTCTATGCATGTATGGAATTATCCCAGTGAAACTCCCTTGTATTACTAATGTATGGTAATTCAAAAATAAAATTTAAAAAATTCTTAAAAACCTGTCAAATATCCAAGTCTGACTAGCTAGTTTGTCAGTCACCTATTTTCTTAAATAAAACTGGTGTTCCATGGGAAAACAAGCAGCTAGTTCAACTCCACTCAATCCCACAAGGGCCTGAGATGACCTTTATCCTTTGGTATGCAGTAAACATTTTTTTTTCCCAGTACCAGGATTTGAACTCAGGGCCTACACCTTGAGACATTCCACCAGCCCTTTTTTGTGAAAGGTTTTTTTGAGATAAAGTCTTGCGAACTATTTGCCCAGGCTGGCTTCAAACTACAATCCTCCTGATAGCTGCCTCCTGAGTAGCTAGGATTGTAGGTGTGAGCCACCAGCATATTTCCTCTTTTGCCACAAAGAATATTAAACATACATATTCTCAAGAGCCCAGACTTATTCTACTGCTTAATTTAAAGTACTCATAAGGTTTTTTTGGTTTTGTTTTCCCTTTCCTTCTTTTAAATTGAAAAAACATGTTAAGGAAAAATACAATGCCTACTAGGCAAGCGTGGTACCTGTCTTGATTCATGATGAGGGGACACCATTCTACACACCCACTGCTTCTGTACCATAAGTGCAAATGCCAATGCAGTGGGAAGGGCTACTGACAGCTAGTGTTAATATGAAAGTAGGGCTGACCTCCTGAACTTCCTAAAAGGGTTTTGGGAATCAGGGGTCAGCAGATCACACCTTGAGAACTGCTGATGAGTCTATGTTCAATTATTCTGACTCAACCACAGCACATTTTGGGTCAGAATTCCATCTGGCATAAATAGGCTTCACAACATAAGGCTTGCAAGCGAGTTACTGTGCTTGGCAGAGGGATAGCAGATGAGCTGGTACGCACCTTCCTGGGGGGTGTGGTTGTGGCCTGGGGGAGTGAAATGTGTACATAGTCATCTGGATGGCAGATTGGGGCTGGAGGAGGAGAGGTTGCTGGGGTTCCCAGAGGAGTTCCTTTTCCAGCTGCTCAGAGACAAGGGCAAAAAATAAATATGAACACCGAGCCCAACTATTGGAAAATGACATTTTCTTCTCATTGTAACTATTATTGCAAATAAGCCTACTAGAATTAGCTTCGTGGGGATCTAGATCAGTCTCTCTCCTCATCCCACCCCCTCTTCTTCCTCTCTGTTTACTTTACTCATTCTGAAAGTCCCAAAAATTTGCATTAAGTGTCAAAAACAAGTTTATTATTGCCAAGTTTATTATAAACAAGTTTATTATCCCCTAAACTCACTATGATGTCTAAGAGAAAGTTCTTTCTATAAAAAGGCAGACCCAAACCAACCAATCAAATCCAGCTAAGACACACATACCAGTTGTGCCAAAGACTTTACTATAAGGGTGTGAGAAATCAGGCGGGACATTTCCAGGAGATGTTGGAGGAGTGGTCATGCCACAGACCATAGAAGGGCTCCAAAGAGTAGCCTGGGAAGTTAAGAAAGTACATCAGCAACTGAATACTGTATCCTCCACAAGGTTTACATCCAAAATTTAGTTTAAATTTAACCTTTACAACTGGAAAGAGCATCTTGTTAAAGCTTTATCATCCTGACTGTCTATACTCCAAGATGCACAAGTGGTAAGAGTAGCTTTGTTTGTATCAAGGATCCTTAAAAGGGGCTCCTGGAACGCACAGTGTGACACGCTCCCAACCACACACTAAATGCTCATCCAAATGGTCAGCTTCACCAGAAGGCAGAATAGAGAGGCACACTGCGTGACACCATACTTGCAGCGGCTCAGGTAACAGCCGTGTTGATGGGGAGCTCAGAGTCTGAGGTAGCTGCCCAGGTGCACAGAACGTCATCTGAGAGGTGGAATAAGGGGTAGAAGTAGCACTGCCTGAAACAAAAGGGAACACAGGGTACATGTGGAGCTTCAAATTATGCTGCCCTAGGCCAGACCATCCGTTAATACTCAGTTCTCTTAGAAGAACTTAAAAAGGTTCTTTTCTTTCTTTTTTGGCGGGGCAGTACTGGGGTTTGAACTCAGGGGCTTGCACTTACTAGCTAGGCACTCTACCAATTGAGCCAAGTCCCCAGCCCTTTTTTGCTTTAGTTATTTTTTAAATAGGCTCTTTCACTTTTTACCTGGGGCTGACCTCCCACATAGCTGGGATTACAGGCATATGCCATTGCCACCATGCGCAGTTTGTTTATTGAGATGGGGTCTAACTTTTTGCTCCAGCTGGCCTCGAACCTGGGTCCTCCCAATCTCCACCTCCCGAGTAGCTGAGACTATAGGCATGAGCCATACCAGTCATTAAAAGATCCTTTAAATGCAATTTAGAAGTGAAAGTTGAGGCAGGTTTGATGTGAAAAGGCACACTCTAGATGACAGCATCAGTGTGAGGCCTACAGCTAAAGCTAACATTTTAGTATGAATCCAGTTTAAACTGCCCAGCCTTATTCAAACTGTGTCAGTGCTACAGCTTAGCAGGCCTTATTCGAATGCCTACAAAGTCCAGAAATTCCCTTCTGACATGAGGCCTTGCTGTCAAGTACTTGACCCCTTTCATGCTAAGTGCTGAGGACACATCACCATTCTGTGAGTGTGCTATGAGGTACAAGAGCAAGGACAACTGAACTTGAAGGAAAAACTAATCAGATGAAATGGAAACCAATATTTCAAAATTGAGGTTGAAATATTTGGAGAAAAGTTCCTAGAATGTAAAATAACTCCTATTCTATGAAAAAACTATTAAACGTTAAAGACAATGCTTTTTCCAGAGACAAAGTCATTTTTTACCATAGCTATTCTGTGTGTGGACATAAGGGCTGGCGGTGCCATCAGCTGAACGATGAGGGAAGTGGGCAGAGAGCTGGTGAGACACATAACAGCCATCTTCATAGGCGGCTTCTGTGGGGTCCAGGGAGATTTTGGCACACTCTATTACAACATCATGAGTTTCTAGTTTCTTCCACCTAGAAAAGACAAGGGAAGTCAAGAAAAGCAAGTGTTAGCAAGTGTCCATCCAATCACATCAATTTAGTATTTAAGAAAACCAACTCAGTGCCAGCCATGGAAGTGTAATTAACAAAGAATGAGGCAGAACCAAGTATATGAAGAAGTAGCCACTCATCTTACAAGTCCTTCATACTTAAAATGGTTATATCAATTTAACAGAAATTAATTTCAAAGAAAAATGCCAACAACAAAGAGTAGGCAAAAGTCTCAATGTAACATACACTCTGCAGAGTAGCCACTGGGGCAAGCCTCCTTTGGAACAAAGGTCATCGAGAAATGGGGTGGCAGGGGCCTGCTGGAAAATGCCAGGCAGCTAAGACAAACCCATCTTGGACCATAAATATAATGTGAAAGACTCAGACTAGAGAGGACATTTAAAAAACTACCAAAGATTCCTGCTAAATGAGTCACAGTACCACTTCTAACAGTTTATCTTATGGAAACAGATACACATCAAGATGTACAGCATACTTTGTGACAGAAGAAAGGAAATAAGGCAGAGGCCAACCAAAGGAATATCCTCTACAGCAGAAATACTAGAAATACTAACACCATCATGCAAAGCAGTCTTTCAACAGATTACTTTCAACAGATTAGCAGGTGACAGAGGAATTATGTAAAGGAACTTTTGCAAGCCAAGGAAAATTCTTTATTGTGATTACAACTTTTGTCAAAATTTAACAAAAGAATGTTTTATTGTGTAGAAATTATATGCTGCACGACTAAAGTTGGTTTTAAAAATAATACTTCCAAGTATTAAATGACTCAGAATATAATCTTAACTGAAAAAAGGATACAAAACTATGCAGACAAATGCCCACAAATGGATCTGATAGCACTAAGTATTTAAATTAAAAGAACTAGAAGCTGGGGTATAGCTCAGTGGTAGAGTGCTTGCTTAGCATTCAAGAGGCTCTGGGTTTGATCCCCAGCACATTAGAAAAAATAATATAAAATGTGGAGTTATGGGCTTCCTTTTTCTTCTTTCAACTCTTGTATTTGCCAAAGACCTCACAAAGGCTCTAATAATTGGCAGAACATTTAATATATGAACACTGCTCAAGTATAAACTTACTTTCTTTTAAGAAACATAGCTTAACAGTCTGTGTGTCATAACTAACAGGGATTCTCATCTTCAGCTCCACATTTACAGGGAGGAGCACAGCAGCACTCAGAGCACTCCGCAGGTTTGCCCTAATGAGACACATCACGCAATGGCTATAGAAAGCTCATTAATTCTTCCAAGTTAAAAATGTGGAACTCAATACAGAAGTGAGGACATGCAAGGCATGAAGAGAACACAAGGCAGCTTCCCTGAGAGGCCAGCCCTTAGAGTTAGGGCTGCAGCACACTTGCTCCTCAGGCTCTCACTGCCACGGTAATGTGTACGGGGGGCAGACTGCTCTTTCCTCACCCTCAGCACAAACAGAAAGAGATTAAGTGAGGCGAGACTCAGGACGCATATGTACACATAAGAAGATTGATTTTTTAGAGAAGGAAATGAGAATCATAATAAAGGAGGAATATATTTAAATGTTTTAATTAAAGCAATATATGCACTATATTTCCTTGATTCTTAACTGGACTTTTTATATTTTAGTATCTTAGCCTTATCAGTTGTGGGTTAGTTTATTTGGCATTTTCCTTCTCAGATGTACATAAAATATAAGTGCGTTATATGTTCGGTGGAATCTTAAGACTCCAATGCAATGATTCAACGAAATAAGGTAGTTTAAAAAGGTGTGTTGGCACCTCCCTGTAATCCTAGTACTCAGAAGGCAGAGGTAGAAGGAAATGAGTTCAAAGCCAGCCTGGGCAACACAGCAAGACCCTGTCTCAAAAGAAGTCAGTACAGTAATAAAAGGTACCTCCATGCCTCTCTCTGGCAACAGCTTCCAATTCTGTTAGCTATATTTCCTTAGAATATGCTCTATGCTTTTCCTTTCTTGATTTATTAATTTTAGACTTCATCTATTAAATTCCTGTCACCATAGGTGAGGACCAAGGTCACTGCCATAGTCCTTTTCCTCCTCCTCAATACTCTCAGAAATTTCTCAGTCTTTATATGTAAGCACTATTCATTCACACCTGAGCCAAAGATAACACTATAATAGCATTTCCTTTCTCATTTGGTTTGTCCTGGAGTTGTAATTTGTTTCTTTTCCTAAATTTTCTGTGTGTTCACTGCCAATTTTTCCTAAACTTAATTCTAGGCTCTAAAACAATGCCTGATAAAATTTTTACATAATGAAATGCAAATATCTACTAGGATGAGACCCCTCCCCTACAGAACTCCCACTGGAGCCCTTACTCTCCTCCTACATTCTGGACCTCACCAGAGGTCTCTGTTATCCTGATACTTCACTCAACTACAATCCTAAGTCAAGTTCCAAGCTTCCTGAACTGTGTCTTCCTCCTCAATTTTTACCCTTCTTTTGGTAAAGCACATGATCTGTGGCTAGTTGAGAAGAAACAAGGAGGGTAAATTTTGAGTCCCGCGTCTCATACCTCAATATGTCTTGATTTGGTTGGGTACAGAATGCTAAGTTGAAAACCTTTTTCTCTCATCTTCGAAGGGCTTTAGAAGCTAACACCATTCTGATTTCTGATCCTGACTAAGTGTTTGGATTTTCTTTTTCTTTCTCTGAGAAGTACGTTTCTCTGGTATTATGAAATTTTACAACACTGAGACTTGGTGACGCTCTCTTGCTTTGACTGAGCTGTGCACTATGTAGCTCTTCAATCTAGGATTTGTGAGTGTGTGTGTCACTTGGGATCAAATCCAGGGCCTCTAAGAAATGTTTTGTATTAGCATTTCTTTTACAATTTCTTCTACCAAAGGTTTCTCCTCTTTTTAAAACCTTTTTTTTCTTTTCTTTTGTATGCTGGAATTTCTGCACTTATCATTCAAAATTTCCTCTCATATGACCCATCTCCATCCTTTGGTTCAGCTTTCTGAGATAATCGACTTTTTTTTCAATTCTCTTACTGAAATGTTTATTTGGAGCATCATTTTTAATTTTCAAGAATTGTTTCTTTAGTCTCAGAATAATCCTTTTTTGTGACAACCTGATCTTTACATTGCAGTGCCCAAATGCTGTCTCTCTAGCCCTGTTCTCTGTATTGTGGTATTTCTTTCTAGTTCCTTTTTCTTTTATTTTGGCTTGTCTTATATAACAGAGCCTTCTTCTAACTCAGATGGTCTGCCTAGTCCCAGAGAGGCACTAGAAGCTGAGAAGGCCTCCAAGTTAATATGGTTGATCAAACATTTGCACCCAACTGTACAACTTCCCAAAATCCCACCCTCTACAGTAAAGATCTGATTATTTATTTTCAAATATAAATCAACAGGTCAGAGAAGAACAGGGGAAAAGAAAAAGTACCCCAAGCACTTGGAATGGGAAAACAAAAGGCAAGCGGTTTTAATTAAAGTAATATATGCACTATATTTACTTGATTCTCAAGTGGGCTTTTTATATCTTAATAGCTATGAAAATCTTATCAGTGTATTAGTTTATTTGGCATTTTTTCCTCTCAGACGCACATAAAATATAAGTGTGTTATACGTTCAGTGGAATCTTAAGAGTCCAATGCAATGATTCAATGACATGGTAGTTTAAAAAGGTGTGTTGGCACCTCCCTGTAATCCTAGTAGTCGAGGTGGAAGTAGAAGGATAATGAGTTCAAGGCCAGCCTGTCTCAAAAAAAAAAAAAAAACGAAACAAAAACCCTCCTGAGAAGCAGAATCCTAAGCTACCAAGGCTTCAAAGCTGCAAGCCAGCTGACTCCTACTGCAGAATCCTTAGATACCAAAGAATTCACAGCATAGAGAACTTCTGGAACTGGAGACATGTGGCAAGTAGATAAAGACAGCTAACCTAAGGCAGCCAGGGCAGAAACTGAACAGGGGCACCAAAAAAAGGTGTCCTGATGTGCCCTCCCAGCTCTATACCACCAGGCAATGGCTCTTTACTCACCAAGAATCTGGATCATTCTCTGGACAGTAAAACAAGGATGAGGTATTCCAGAATAGTCGAGGGCATAACTATATCCCAAACAAGAGAGTAAAGTGAGGATACATTCTGAATGTGAACACCACCAAGCCCTGCTCACTGTCAGCCTCTTCCCAGTGATAGCCAATCCCTCACCAATCAAAGCCTTACCACCAAAACCTCACCTGAGGTGAGGCCAAACCCTCAACAGCCTCCCCTCATCAGAAGACTCTTTAAAAATCTGACAAGCTCAAGAGGACAATACTAACATTAGTACCACCACCAGATGCTCAGATCAACACACAACAATGCTCAAAGTCTGCCAGTGCCATCCCAAGAGAAGAGTTTTTTAAGTCTCTCCGTCCAAACAAAAACAAACTGCCAAATCCTTGCAGAAAGCCTCAAAGAGTTCAAAAGAACAATCAATGCAAAAAAGAAAGCAGCTTAGAAAAACAAACATAAGGAAAACAAGCAAACATTCTCAAACATGAGCCTGTATCCATGAAACAAAAATAGGCAACTATGAAAAAGGAATAATTCTGAGAACTAAAAAGAGCTGTTAAGATTAAAAACATGGTGGTGGTAGAAATGACAACTATCACAGAAGCCAAAGATAAAGAGGTCTGTAGGAAGTAGAACAAAAAAGTAGAAAGAAAAAAACGGGAGGTCTCAAACTCAGTACTAGGAGCTCTGGCAGGAAAGACAAGGACAGATGGAGGAAAGGAAAAAAAACATAAAATTTTAAAGACAGTTTCCTAGAACTTAAAGAGCTTCTAGGCCAGGTACCATGGCTCATGCCTGTAAGCAACACTGGCAGCAAGACAGCAAATGAATACCACCTTCAATTACTGAATGGGACTGACTTCCGCCCTAGAAGTCTATACTCAACAAAACAACTGTATCCTTCCTCAAAATGCTACAAGAGGATTTATTCCATCAAAACCAGAGTAAGCCAAGAAGGAAGAAACAAGATGCAGGAAGTGGGAGATGCTGCCCAAGAGGCCACAAAAATTCCCAGAACAGGCTGGCAGCTGGGGACGAGGCATGGACCAAAACCAGTTCACACCTGTCAAGAGACAAGCATGCTGCAGGCCATCTCCAAGGCTCCTGCTGCCCTGCACTATCCTTTTAGCCAAGGAACAGAACCAAGTGACCTGGCACAGATAGCTGAACTGTTATAGGTTCTCACTCTCTGTTCTCTGTCAGATCAGCAGAGGATGCTCATTTTGCTCCACAGAAGGACTCTGATTGGACCTACTCCCAAGAACTGGAAGCAGCCAGCACAGCCACAGCATATCTTGTGAAGCATTCAGCCTGCCCTCACTAGTGGCCTTGCCAGATGCTTGACAAGGTCAGAGTTGCCCAAGCCTCACTTGTGACTTTGTGCAATGACCTCCTCAAAGGAACGCCTGTCCTCTCGAGGAAGGTAAAGCCAAACCAAACAAAGGTTCAGACCCTGTTCCTGCCCTTGTTCCCTGGAAACATGCCTCTAATAGTGACAAGATTGGTTTTCCTCAGTCAGGCCTGGCTTCCCAATCAGCTTTTCAAAACAGAATATATGCGGAAAAATGTAACGACAATTGAAGGAATAATTAACATAAACCCAAAAGCAGGGCTGGGAATGTAGGTTGCCTAGGAAGCACAAGGCCTGGGTTCCAGCCCCAGTACCCACAAAACAAAACAAAAATGAAACAAGAAGAGTAGTAGTTATCTCTGAGGTACGACAGGGAATAGAGAGGAAGAGTCTCACAGCGGGCTCCTAAGGTACTTTATTTTTTAAGCTGGGTGCTGGATACATAGGCGTTATTCTTAAACCTTAGATATATACTGTACATTTTTAGACATATAACACATCTCACCATAAGTTGCTTTGTGATGTCTGAGACTGTGTGGTGGAGTTGGTGGAGACTCTGTAAAGGGATCAGGCAATGAGCCAACCTTTTTTTTTTTTTTTTGGTGGGACAAAGGTTTGAACTCAGGGCTTCAGGTAAGACACACCCGCATTTTAGAGATGGGAACTATTTGCCAAGGGTGGTCTCATACTGCAATCCTCCTGATCTCAGCCTTCCAAGTAGCGAGGATTACAGGTGTGAACCACCAGCATCTAGCTGAGCCAGCCTTTCCAGTGGGAGACCCAAACATCAGTATCTGTGGTTCAGTCTCTCTGAAAAGGGTTCCACCCCTCACTGGGGAGCATATCCTGGCTGCCAGTAGTGAAAAGCAGGAAGGAGTTGTGCTTCCTGGAACTCAGCCCACGGAACCTCCTTCATGTCCCGGCTTTTCAGTGCAACCTCAGCTCCACTCACACTGGACCTGGTACCTCACTGAGGAGTCTTGCAGGCAGGTCCAGGGTCTCCTACAGGGCCCACGAAGCATGGTAGGCAACTAGTTACACAGGCCAAGGAAGGATCCAGGGAGGCTCATCACTTGAAATACAGCCTTTTTGCAATGCACCTGGTTTCAGCCACCCCTTCACCACCTGCCTTGAACAACTGTTGGCCCCAACATGGGGTGCCTTTCTGGAGCGAGAGGGATAGGCACAGTGCTATTAACTATGCTCCTGCACACTGGTGAAGGAGCCATGAGCCCTCTAACTGTGAAGAGTATGCTTTAGACTGCTACACAGGCCCAGCTGATTTTATAAGTGGAACATTGGTATTTCCAAATTATACCTTAACAGGGACATCTTCTAGATCATTTTCAATCTCTTAAGAGACTCTTTTTAAAAATTCCATTACTAGTTTCTATACCTTCGAGGGTCCAGTTCATGGTCCTTGGATCCAGTCACTAATTCCGGGTGAATTCGCACATGCTCCATCATTGGCTAGAAGAGTTTGGGTTGACAAATTATAGGTGTGAATTTTTGTGGCATGTCCACACAATGAAATATCATTTGACAATAAAAAGGAATGAAGTACTGATACACGTTACAATATGGATGAACCTTGAAACGTTAAGTGAGAAGCCAGTCACAAAAAAGCACACATTATATGATCTAATTTATAAGAAACGTACACAAAACCAACTCTTTATCTGTCCATAAAGACAGCACATTTAGTGGTTTGCTAGGGATAAAGTGGAGGCCTTAGGGAAAGACTGAATTTCTTTTCAAAATTTCTCTGCCATATAATAATACACAAGTTATAAATGTTACTATCTGAATATGCACTAAGTATCAAATAAATGAGCAGTTTTAGCTTACCCTGACCACTTCTTCAAAAGTCTCTAAGTTTTCCTTCATACTGTAGTGAGAACGCAAAAAAGAGACAAGTTGCAAGGGTACATTCCATAAAGGCGATGAAAGAGGGCATAAACACTGGCATGGAGATGGACAAGGTAGACTTCTGTCACATGACCTAAGAAAGAAAACAAATGAGAGGAGGCTCTTATTGTACACAATGTTTATGCGGGGTTGGGGGCATGGCTCAAGTGGTCGAGTCTGCTTAGCAAATGGAAGGCCCTGAGTCCAAACCCCAGTACTGCTACCACCAAAAACAAAACAAACAAATTGGACAGGAAGACATGTGACTTTTTATTTATGTATGCTCTCACCATGCTCCAAAGACGTAAGTCAGAATGGTTTTCTCATGTTCAAGTCTGGACACCAGACACCCTTATTTAAAATCTATCAGTGGCTCCTCTGGCCATTAGATAAACTCCCATCTGCCATAAAGCCTCCTAGTAATCTAATATCCACCCTCCTCTCCAGCCAAGAAAGACCCCAAACATTCTTACAATGTGGACTGCCTTTACAATGACACTCACTCTCCCTACAAACTGTAATTACACTTTTCCACTGCCTGGCTTAGCATGCACTTCTTGAGAAAAGGACTGCTCTACTCTCCCTTTTATCCCCAGACTCTTACACGGTGCTTGGTGTGCAAATATGTGTTCAAGTGTTTGTGGAATAACATGTGAGAACCTTTTGAAATCATGATATAATCTTAGCTACACAGATTTATAACTAAAGATAAAAAAAAAAAACCGCAAACCTATTATGCAGAAATTAGCTTAAATTGCTAGGAGTGGGAGAAATGGACAATTCCATTCGTCTAGCCTTACCTAAACCCTACAGAAACCTCAGCTCTTCCATAATAATGGACAAAGTGTACTTTTCTCCCAAAGAAATCCTACTAAATAAGCTGCCATCACATAGGCCTGTGCCTTTTTTGTTTAATCCTGTCCAGGAGGCCACAGCATTCTCTCTCATAGGTCTTACAGTTCATCCTTTCAATATGAACTTCTCATGCTGGGATTACTAAAAGCTTCTGAATTTCACAGGCTTACAGTTTCTGAATCCCTTTGATAGAGCTGTCCTACCTGCTGGCAGAAAAAAACATCCTGGTGTGTTTGAAATTTGAATGCTAATTAGGACATGCTGCAATTTCTTTTCTCCTTGTACATATATACCAATCAGGTTCTGAGAACAAAAGTTTGTGCTCTGGCACAAAAGATCAACATAACAAGACAAAAAGATTCCACAAGCTTAGTCGTATCTTAACTACTGAAAATCAGGAAGTTGTATGTCCTGTAACTCAGTTTCTCTAATACTCCTTTCAGGACAACACAGTAAGGAAGGTATCTTATCAGTCATGTCTCTTTTATGTGCCTACAGTGGATACACCCAAGTAATACCACTCATTTCGGCCATAAATTTTCACATGTCCTTCCCTCACAGCACATGACCTGTTGACCAGTTAAGGAAAGCAGCATTCACCCGGTGGAGCCTGACAGGGACAGAGGGATCTGTACCTGGTTTCTTCAGGCACCATGACGAAAGACGGCCAAAGATATCGAAGAAATCAAGAAGGTGCTGCTTCCCTGACTGCGGGATCATTGGTAGCATGGTAATCAAAACCAAGACACCTGTTGTGAGGACGACAACATCAGAGTCCATCTGCAAAAGGAAAGGGCAAAGAGAATATCAGCACCATGTGGAACATGATGAGGTTCTAAGCACTGAGAGCACAAATTAGAAATTCCTCATGTGCTCATTTCCTGATTGACCTGGGAGATGAGTGTAACTTGGCTTGGGGATTCCCAAGTCCTGAAACCTCAGGGTCCCCTACTTACAGCACTTGGATGGGAGCACAAGAAGTTGCTTTGTAATAGAACACAGAAGCATTCTGTTTTCATCCATTCAATCAAATCCTAAGATATTTACTTTTTATTAAGTCACTGACAAGTAACTCGCTTTTTAAAAAAAATTGCAGTGCTGAGGATCAGACCCAGGGCCTCATGTATGCTAAGCAAGCACCCTACCACTGATCTGCACCCTAGCCCAATCCACTGTTTTTTAAAGGACCAAAGACTACTATAAAAGTATAATTGAAGTAGAAGTTAGAATAGCATTAACAAATCAACTTACTGATTTACCTTCATAGCAGTATTTAGAGAACCTCAAATAAATCTCTGACCATGCTTTTAGTCTAAATATCAAGTCAAATAACTTTAAGCTAAGTGAAGACACTTAACATCCAAGGATAATGACTCAGCTCAAAGTAGCTACAGCAGCTCACCTGGCCCACAATTAAATCATGGATGTTTGCCAAGTAAATGAAATTAAGATTTACAAAACAAGACATTAATCAAGAGAGTACCACATAGACCAAGACATCTATTATTCCTTAGGAAAGGAATCTATGAGTCCAGAAGTAAAGTTTGAATGCATTTCATTTTTACTTCATGTACCAAGTCTTTTGTTGAGACAGGTTTCTAATAAAAAATACATCAGCAGAATTAGGAACACATAATTAGTGTGTAAGGACTGCCCCAGCTTCACTTATATGACACACTCAAACTGAAGACCCACGTAACAATCCATGAGTAATAGTCAATCCTCAACTTTTTTTTCTTTTTGGTCTTTTTTGTTTTGGTGCTGGAAATCAAACCCAGGGTCTCACACCTGCTAGGCCTGTGCTCTACCACTGAGCTGCATCCCAACCCAAGGCTTACCCTTTTGAAAAAGGTGAAGTGTTCTGCAATCTGAACTACATGTTGAACCTCAAAATTGGATTATCTTTTATTAATCCATTTACTCAAAAAAAAAAAAAAAAGAGGCATTAAAACTGTCCCCGCTTTTTCTTAGCATAAAATTTTCTTAACATTTTTAAGACACCCTACCAATCTGACTCCTTGGGACCCATTCTCTGGAGGTAATAAAAGTTACCCTTCTTGGCAGAAACAAAAATCAATGTGCATGCTGCTGCATCAGGCCAATCTAAAGGCACTGCCATCTTGGCACACACACTACTGATGTGCTCACAACTCTGTGAAGTTAACCACCTTCTCTTATTTTATAGATAGGAGACAAGTCCAGGAACTAAAACAGATTAAGAAAATGGCCCTGCTGGGTATGGTGGCTCATACCTGTAATCTTAGCATTTGGGGGGCTGAAGCAGGAGGATCATGAGTTTGAGGCCAGTCTAGATGACAAAGTGAGACCTATGCCAAAAAATTAAAAAGCCAGCCATGGTGACACACACCTATAATCTAGTTACTCAGTAGGTAGAGATTGGGAGGACTGCAATTTGTGGCCAGCCTAGGCAAAAAGTTAGGAAGAACCCATCTCAAAAAACAGGCCAGGTCTGATGGCCAGGCCTGTAATTCCAGCTACATGGCAGGCACAGATAGAAGGATCGTGGTCCCATGGGCCCCAGACAAAAAGCGAGCCCCTAAAAAATAAAGTAAAAAGACTCAAGTGGCAGAGCACTTGTTTAGGAAGTCTGAGGCCCTAAATTCAAACCCTAGTACTGCTAAAAAAATTAAAGAAAATGGTCCCGAGTATTTCAGCAAGCTGCTGTCAAAACTAAATCATAATGCTCTACATGGGTTTTGACTCTCTACGTAGAAAAATGCAATTAATTTAGGGCAAAAAATAGTAGAATGCAATTCAGTAGGACTTCCATCAACATAATCTTTAATATAAGCTAGGCATGGTGATGTATATCTGTAATCACAGCACCAGAGATTGAGGCAGGAGAGCTGTGAGTTTGAGGCCAGCCTGGGCTAGGGAGCAAGTCCAGGACAATATGATCTACTTAGTGAGACCCTGTAAATAAACAGATAGATAAATCTTTAGTTATAGCTGCTACCAGAACATGCTCCTAGATGGTTAAGTAGCCCATTAAGCCATTTCTCTCTGAGCTAAGGAGAACTTACAAACAGGGATTCCCAAAAGCAAATCCAGCATATTTTTAACCAAGGGAAGGCTAGACAATGATGAAATTAAAGAGGTCTGGAATAGTTATTTTCCATTTCCTCAGACGATATTCAGCAGTCACAGAAATGCGTTTGAAGATTACTAAGTACCAACTCTGAACTGCATTACATTAGCAAAAAACTAAAAATCCCTACAAGTTCTTAAACTCTGAGAGTTAATATCTAGCTTGCTTGTTCTAAAATAAACAACACTTGAGAAACTATTCATAGCACCATTCATTCAAATCCTTACAAACATCCTACCTTGAGACATTTCAGTAAAGAAGGCAAAAGAGGTGCTTGAGAGAGCTTATGCTTCCAAGATGGCTGCAGCCTCACGACATGCCCCAGCAATGAGAGGATGGATAAACGAGTGGTGGCTTTGCCCACATATTCATTCATTTTGTCCAAGAGGTGCTGAAAATGTAAAAGAATAAGAGAAATTCTCATGCGAATGTACAAAGTTAACCCAAATTCAGGCAGCAGCGATGCGCTTCAACCTCAAGCCTTCCCTCTACTATAACCCCACAAAGAGATCAAAACCAAGATTTTTACAACCATGTTAGCAGACAAGACATTGCTTCATTTGTCTTGAAAGAGAATAGCAACTTTACAATTTACAAAAAGGAAGGGCTAGGGATATGGCTTGAGTGGTAGAGCACCTGCCTAGCAGCTAGTATGAGGACCTGAGTTCAAACCCCAGTACCACCAAAAGAAAAAAAAAGAAAGGAAGGAAAGAAAAACGATCTTCATAACAGACGGCTATTAGAGGAGGGAAGAAGCCTATACAACCTCCTTTTCCACTTTTACAACAATGGCTGATCCCAAACCTATGGTATGTTGAAGCGTGATGGGTCTTGCTGGATGACCCTTACTGCTCCAACAGCTTAGTAGTCATGCTTTGGTCCCAAATAAAAATCAGGCAGTAGAAGTTACAGTTTGACTCAGAGTAAAGAAACAAAAAGATGTATTAAAAACAAGGTCATCATCATTAGCAACACCACCAACAACAGGTGTTGGTGAGGATGCGGGGGAAAAAGGAACCCTCTTACACTGTTGGTGGGAATGTAAACTAGTACAACCACTCTGGAAAAAAATTTGGAGGCTACTTAAAAAGCCAGACATTGATCTACCATTTGATCCACCAATACCACTCTTGGGGATATACCCAAAAGACTGTGACACAGGTTACTCCAGAGGCACCTGCACACCCGTGTTTATTGCAGCACTATTCACAATAGCCAAATTATGGAAACAGCCAAGATGCCCCACCCACTGACGAATGGATCAAGAAAATGTGGTATTTATACACAATGGAATTTTATGCGGCCATGAAGAAGAACGAAATGTTATCATTCGCTGGTAAATGGATGGAATTGGAGAACATCATTCTGAGTGAGGTTAGCCAGGCCCAAAAGACCAAAAATCATATGTTCTCCCTCATATGTGGACATTAGATCAAGGGCAAACACAACAAGGGGACTGAACTTTGATCACAAGATAAAAGCGAGTGCACACAAGGGAGATATGAGGATAGGTAAGACACCTAAAAAATTAGCTAGCATTTGTTGCCCTCAACGCAGAGAAACTAAAGCAGATACCTTAAAAGCAACTGAGGCCAATAGGAGAAGGGGACCAGGAACTAGAGAAAAGGTTAGATCAAAAAGAATTAACCTAGAAGGTAACACACATGCACAGGAAATCAATGTGAGTCAACTCCCTGTATAGCTATCCTTATCTCAACCAGCAAAAACCCTTGTTCCTTACTATTACTGCTTATACTCTCTCTTCAACAAAATTAGAAATAAGGGCAAAATAGTTTCTGCCGGGTATCGAGGGGGTGGGGGGGGGAGAGGGAGGGGGCGTAGTGGGTGGTAAGGGAGGGGGTGGGGGCAGGGGGGAGAAATGACCCAAGCATTGTATGCATATATGAATAATAAAATAATAATTTAAATAAATAAATAAATAAACAAGGTCTTCAAATTCTAGCAAAATCACTCTCGTACACCTACTCAAGTTTTATTGAAGTCTGCAATGACAATGTTTTGTTAGCTCTGTGGTAGAAACAAAGATAAAAACAAAAGGAAAACACATAGGAACCCTCCAAGTGCCTGGTCCTAAAAAGAAGAACTCATTAATTAGCCACACGAATTACCTGCACTTAAGGCTTTTCTCCCATATTGATAAAAGTTCTAAAACTCCTACTTTATAGGTCAAATCCTCACTAAACAATTACAATACTGGAATGATAAAATTTCTTTGAAGAACAGATACTTAAAAGTCTCTAAAACAGGTTTCATTTTGTAAACTTTCCAGGGAGTATGAGTCCTAATTTTTATATGTAGTTATAATCTGGGAATAACATCGCCTGTGGTGTACAAAAGTCAAAGGAACAAGCTCTGGGAAAAGTGTGCAGTGGCCTTGCATAGAAGCTAACTCAGAGAACATATTAAATGCCCTGCTATCACATTTCAGCAGTTACCTTATCATGTGGCTCTTGCAAAGTAGTCAAGATGTGCAAAACCGGCTGAGAATTGGTTTCCAGATAATAATCCACCAGGGTGTTCACAAGCATAGGACCACGGTCTAAATGCAGGAAAGGGTCATTTATCATACTTATATCCTTTAGCATAAGTTTATCTTAAACAGTTGTCTGTTGCAAAATCTGGAAAATGTCTCTTTATATGCCATCCCCAAATTTTACTTAGCATTGTTTCTGCCTCCTTAAATTCATTTAGGTTTAACAGTAAGACAATCCCAAATTTATTTGCTCAAATATCCATAAAAGCACATGAAATGTTATCATGAAATTGTATCATGTCTATTGTTAAAAGTCCTCCTCAAAGCCTGCTTCCAGGCTGGTGGAGCGGCTCAAGTGGTAGAGCACCTCCCTAGCAAGCGTGAGGCCTTGAGTTCAAACCCCAGTACCATCACACACACACACACACACACACATAAAAAAACTGCTTCCAACCCACTCTTCAGAGATGTCCCTTCAGTTTGGGACACACATGTCCTTTCAAACACGCTTCCACTTGTAAAACTGCTCATACACACACAAATACACACAGGCAAGGAGCCCACATGTCCATATAGACATGGTTTGTATATGTGAATGTATGTTATAGCCCCTTCCCATGACAGCACCTGTGACCTACTTCATTCTTTTGACTGACCTCCCAGTCCTCACTCTACTACACAGTTCTACATAATTTAACCATCACCCATTATAGGATACTTGGGTTTTCCAGTTTTTCACCAAATTACATTTGAGGCTCTAATGAGATTCAGATTCTTGTGAGTCAAATATTATGTGTCTTTAATTTATTGACAGAAACTCCAAAAAGGCTGAACACCAATTTATACTCCTGCTAATGGTACCCATTTCTCAAAGTCAGTATTTTGATTTTTGTCAACCTGCTCAAACTATTTAAGTTTGTATTTCTCTGACTAAAAAGGAATTAACCAGTTTTCACATTAAAAAACACATATATGATTTACAGATGAAATAGTATGTCTTTAAAATTTTGGGGGTGGAGCAGAATCAGAGAAGTAAGACAAAGTGAGAATGGCAGAAACTGTGAAGCTGGGTCATGGGGCTCTCTTCAGGACTCTCACTTCTGTGTGTGTATATTTGAATATTTCCATAATTAAACATTTAAAATGCATATAGCACAAATCTACCAATGTCTACTTTCTGCTGGAGGTTTTAAAAACTTCAGAAGATGCAAACTAAATCTGTCAGCCGAATTCCAGTCACCTCTAGGCCATTCTCTTCTTGTGAACAGATAAGCTAAAAAAAAAGACACTCCCTGGCTTACCAGAATTGAGGTTCTCCTTAAAGATGGCTGTCACATCATCGCGCACACCCAGTGTGGGAGAGTCCAGCATGGAGAGCAGCTCCCCAACGTTTGCTGGCTGAGCCATTCTCACTCCACACTGTGGTGCGGGCTCCAGGACCTGGGCTAAAGGCTGAGGCGTCTCTTCATTAGGGCCGCTACCAGACTGCCAAAAAAAGATAGATGGTATGATAAACAGCTCCATTTTTCCCCACAAAAAACCATCTGCAAGACAAACCAGCCCATGTTCAATGCAGTAGAAAGTTTGGCCAGAATACTGCTGATAAAAGAAGATAAAGTGTGAATAATCCTATCTTTGACATATTTACAAGGCAAGTGGAGCTCTATGAAGTGAGGTATTACCCTTATTTTACAAATGGCAATACGGAAACCCAAAAAGGCTAATAAATAATTTTGCCAAGGTCATGTGATAAAGTATAACTTACACAGCCCAACTCCTAGGCCAATGACTGCACATGTTATTTGCAGCCATAGTAAAATATACTCTCAACCAGGTATTGGTAGCTCACACCTATAATCCTAACTACTTGAGAGGCTGAGATCAGGAGGATCATGGTTCAAGGCCAGCCCAGGCAAACTGTTCATAAAACCCCATCTCCAAAATAACCAGACCAAAAATAGACTGGAGGTGTGGCTCAAGTGGTAACACACCTGCTTTGCAAGTATGAAGCCTTTCGTTCAAACCGCAGTCCCACCAAAAAAATAAAATAAAAAAATACAGTATATTCCCATTTGCTTTTCTTTGAGTAAAAAGAGGTTCTTAAGCTTTAGTGTACAACAAAACCACCTGTGATGCTTGTCAGACTTTGATTTCCTGGCTCATTCCCAAGTGAATTTTGGATTCAGACATCTGTATTGTAATACATACCCAGATGAATCTTAAATAGGTAATACACAGGTCTGTTTGAAAAATACTACACTTAAAAAAATCCAGCTCAAGAGTTAAGCTTTTTCTGCAAGGACTGCAAATTCGCAGTGACCCCAGAAGCTGCTAGATATTTACGCAATATTGTCTATGCTCTCGTTTAACTGTAACCTGGTAACAGTCACTGATTTGGCTATTGGTAAATGAGATGCTCTTGTTAGAAAAATCAATTAAAATGTCTCAGTGCATTCTTGGTAGCTAATCACAGTGTAGGAAGTTGGTGGCTTAAACTCGTAAGTATAAATCTCACAGGTAACCACAAAGGATTTCACAGGCTCAGACTCGTGGAACCACAACCGTTAAGAATCTACTATAAAACAGTCCAAATCTTAAACTAGAAACAAATTTCATCTTATTACGACTGGATCAAACTAAACTTATAAAGGAATACCAACTTGCCACCCTTTTATTGCTCTTGAGAGGATTAAATGAAGTAAGAATGTAAAGAACTGAACCTTACCACAGTACCTGGTGCAAACACTCACTGACAAGCACCTGTACTTTGCCATAAAAAAAACCCACTAGTAAAAACAGCTGGGCCACCACTTTTAAGACACCTTTTTAAGAGCACATTTATTTAGCTAATCCCCGCATGTGTTTCTACTTTAACAAATCACAAAGATTCTCGGTGATAAAGAATTCAGCTTTTAAATTTAAAAGTGTTCTGTCTCCAACTTTGGTTTTATTCCAATAAAACTGCTACTTACCCATTCTAAGTCTAGTGAGACTTTGAGTTTGTTTTTTGTGTACTCAGAAGACAATAAAGTCAGAGTTGGTCCTTCAAAAGCAGGCAGCCCCAGAGCACAGAGTGACAGCTCAATTTTAAACAAAGATGGCGCCTATCCAGTCTACTTGGCAGTAGTCAGGGTTAATCGGCTTGGGCTACCTAGCTTGTTTTTCAGTTAGTAAATGTAATTTGGGTAAAAAGTCTGGTTTCTGGAGCCTACCCTTTCCAAATAGTTTACAGAAGGCAAAAATAAGGTTTTATTTTTAAAACACATTAGAATATTGTTGGCAACAAGTTTATTCTCTGTGGTTCTAAAACTCCACTTTTCAACCATATTTTTTTAATCCCCAGAAAAAATATAAATCTTGGGCTTTGTTTGCAATTCTCTGTATAAGTAACCCCAGTTCAAGCATTTTTGACATTCTAAAAAGCCCTCATGAGAGTTAATTCATAAGCCTTTGGAATCAGTCCCATGAGTAGTCTGTCTGCCCTTTTTAAATCCATTCAAATACTTGTTAGGGACACAAGGCATAAGGTGCAATGTGGGGTAGCACAGACTTAGAAAGTGCAGTGAAGAAGTATCTGGGCTCTAGCAGAGAAAAGGACATGGTTCACTTAGTGCACAAGGGTAGACACTTAGGCACAGGGGTAGACGTACACTTGTTAATGACACTTTACAGCCTGCGGAAGGTCAGCACCCCAGACACACTACAGCAGCCACTTACAGCTGTAAGAGCATTCAGAAATCCAAAGACAATATCTGGACAATACATTTCTGTATTCTACACGCTAAGCAACATGTGTGATGGTGTCTTCTGTGGCTGCGGCCACAGGACAGCGCTACAGTTGATGCTATTCATTTTAGGGAGTCATGACCCCCAATGCCCACTTCCCACTTCAAAACCTACCACTCTGCCAGTCTTCTGAGTCTCAATGAAAGGCAACAAACACCTGGTGATCTCCTTCGCTCCTCCAAAACCCCACCCCCATCTGTAGCCTATCTGCAACCTCATGCATTGCTATCTCCTTTGCCACCATCACAGGCTGAGCAGCCCCCACTCCCTGGAGACAAGAGCAACAGCCTCCCTTCCCTCTCTCCCTTCCTCCCTGCTGTATTCATGCTCTCCTACACTTTACTCACCTCTAAACAACCACAAGAAACTGTGAAATATGGAAATCAAAATCTATCACTCCCCTGCTTAAAATCAGCCAGTAGCTTCCCTGGAGCTAAAAACAGCCACATTTCATGAGAGGCCTATGAGGCCTCATGTAATATAGACAGTTCATAGTCCTTCTCTCCCTTGCCCCATTTCCCTGCTCAAGTCCTGGATTTCTCAAACACATGAAAACTGGTCCTTACACATGGTCTTTGCACTTGCTCTTCTCCTTATGCCTGGAATGCTCTTCTTCCACATCCTTCCATGGCTGACTGTCTCTCTTTCAGGTACCAGTTCAAAATGTCACCATCAGTGTGTAGCCTCCCTGACCATCCAATCCAAAGCAGTAGGGGCTGTTTTTGAATAAAAGATATTTTCTAATCATGAAGATCCTTGGACTCAGATCACATCTGATCAAAAGCATGGGAAATAGGGATTTAGCAAAGCTCAGTTTCAGTTTCCATCTTATTTTTCAAAGTCTGGCATCTGGCTTTGCATTGGTCTTTGGAAAGTCTGAAGGTTGAACAATCCACTGCCTAATTCAGTAGTATTTCTAGCAATCGTGTATGATAAACAATTGTATGTTCGCGTTGCTACCACTGCACTCATCAAAATGTCAGTAATGTGGACAAGAAATATATTTAGAATATTTAAAAACATATGAATTCATTCAAATAAAAGTAAAACATTCAGATAAAACAAGTTCTATGTCTTATAAATTGAAATTCTGTCAGTTTAAGTACAACATGTACATTTATGAGGGTAAAAGGTTCAATGAATAATGTATGTGACTTTTATGTTCAAAAATAATACCTTTAAAATCATTAAATGTATTAACTAATAATATGATATTAAGAGAGCACTTTAGCTGAGTAACTTATAAATAACAGAATATGCTCTTTGAGCCAAATGTTTGTAACAAGTTAAGTAATTCAGCTACCTAACAGAAACTAAATTATATTTTAATTTCTAACGTACATAGAATTGTTAGGCAGTTTCTATTACCAACAAAATAACCTTTAAGAATGCATTTAGGGATAGAGGAATGGCTCAAGTGGTAGAGTGCCTGCCTAGCAAGCATGAGGTTCTGAATTCAAACCCCAATGCCACCAAAAAAAGTAATCTCTCAAGAAAAAGTAATATATGGAAGTACTTCACATCTTGTGGGAATGAATTAAAATAAAATGTCAATCATTTCATCTCAATTTTACATGAAAAAATTTAAACAAAAATATATCCCATAATCATAGTCAACAACATCCACGAGTCATGTTTAAGTCTAACATAAAGAATATAAAAAAAGGGCTGGTAGAGTTGCTCAAGTGGTAGAACACCTGCCAAGCAAGCATGAGGTTGAGTTAAAGTCCTAGTACTGCCCCCCCCCAAAAAAAAAACAAAGAAGGCTAGGGGTGTAGCTCTGTGGTAGAGAGCTTGCCTAGCATGCCTGAGGCCCCAAGGTTGATTCCCAGCACAGAAAGAAAGGAAAATAAAACAACAAAAAGGAACACAGAGTGTGAAGGAAGAGAATAACATGAAAAAAATGATGGCTGCAGATGTAACTCAGGGATATGGCACTTTCGTAGCACACACTAGGTCTGGGTTCAATCTCTCGCACTACAAATCAAAACAAAAGCTGTATTGTGTATATTTTGTATTCACTATTCAAAGTTTAAACGTGAGGAATAAAGGAGAATGATGGAGGGGTGAATTCAACTATGATATACAGTAAGAACTTTTGTAAATGCCACAATGTACACCCAGAACTATACAAAAATTTTAATTAAAAACAGTAAAAGTCTTTACAAAAATGCTTTAAGACAGTTTCTTACAGCTTTGTGCCTATAGAGGCTAAATATTAACAAAAGTTTACTGAAATGATTATTATAGTTTCCCATCGACTTTCGTGCTAAAGCTGACGGCCTTCCAAGCTACAGATCTCTAGATCCCCATCTTCTGGAAACTTTCCTGAATGCTGCTTTGTCCAACAAGGTTGATGATGGAAATAGGAAACAACTGAGCCAGCTAAACAGCGCAGCATACTCATAAGTCACAGTGACCATGAGGCAATGCAGTTGCTCGCAGTGCTCATAAAATACTTTTCCTACACTAAAATTTCAAACTTTTCAAATCTAACTACTAAAATGTAACATAACTGCAGTCATGAAGAATGTTTAATAAAATTTGAGTTTTAGTTTTGCATCCCAGAATTTACAATTTAAAATACTGGTATTTTGCTTGAGCATTCATAATCTGAACATTTGACCCTCTTTCGGATCATGTCCTAAAATAAAGGGGGGGAGATAGGTCCCTGCTTATGAAAGGACACGGATCTTTAAGGCAAAAATCCTGAACTTATTTCGCAATTCCTCTGGCGGAGGTGAGGCAGTGACAGAAGGTAACAGTAAGTGGCAACCACTGAGCCACGAAATTAGTCACAATAGCAGTTCACGTGTAAAGGCAGTAGACCAAACACCTCGTCCCCCTCCATGCTTCCTGTACATGCAACTGTTACGATTTGCATTCTTGCTGACAAACTCAAAGTTACAGTTCACTGACCAGTCAGGTTACTCTGACTACAGTCAGATTCACAGAAATGCCAGAGCCTCGATATTTATGAAGGATATATTCTGAACTTTGAGAATCCTTCAGTTCCTAAAAACCACTAATGCATATAATTTACCTCACAAACTAGCTTAAGACAACAGATACAGCCATATCAAGATATAAATAGTCCCTAGCTCAGGGGTTCTCATTAGAATCACCTGGCGGGTTTACAAAATCCTGAAACGAAGGCTTATTACAGAGCAGGTTAAGGGGTGAGATACAGACACAACATATGGTGTGCTTGTTCATATCCAAGCTTAGCCAGGGTCGAGAACCTCTACACTGGTGAAATGACTTGCTCCAGCACACAGGCCTCCATTTAACTAGTGGTCAAAACTCTTCTTTGTTGCTACAGAGAACTGATTTGCAGCAAAGTTCACTAAGGACTAGCTAAACTACCTTAGGAAAATTACATAACATCTTTGAGCCTGATTTCTCAACTGTAAAATGGAGATACACCGAAAGTGTGACTGGGAAGAAGAAAACAAGCAGTGAATGTAATGCACTTAGCACTGCCCAGTACTGAATAAGCACTTAGGTCATGGTAATGTGACTAGTTTCTTCAAGCCATAGGTGATCCTGTTCCTGGGAGGGTGCTAGAACCATAAACATTAACTCATTGAAAGGAAAGAGGCATCTATGTCCGAGGACAACCATGGACAAAGGTGAATCACTCCTCCCATCTTCCCCCAACCACTAGACTACAAGTTTACACCTTACCTGTTCTGGGGACAGTTGGTGCTTCTGTTTCCAGTGCTGTCAGCCTGTTGTCTTTCATGGTCACTGGAGGGAAAGCACACATACATGTCTGTATATAATAGCCTGACAATAAACTAAAATGTGATACTCAGTCAGAAGAGAGTGTAGGGTTCATTTGGTACAAGTCCTTTCTGCTACCCCTGACAGGCAGCCTCTGGTCTCCACCGGAATAAACACATAATCACTGGGAGAACATGCCTCTGGTCATCTGCATTTCTCAGGAGAAGGTGGCTGGAAAATTTTATTATGCCAAACTTGTAATTTCTGCCTTTTGTTAACCACAACAGCTGTCAACAAATGGGTAGGAAAGACTCTCGAGCAAGTTCCATTTGAAATCTCAACTCTGCCGCTTATTAGCTGTGTAACTTTTGACTATACGTCTCAATGGCTGACCTTGGGTTAGCTGCAGAGTGAGAATAATAATAGCATTGACCTTATAAGGCAAGGAAGGGATCAGATGAGATGATGCACCCACTCAAGGAGCTCTATGGGACCCACTCAAGGAGGTCCCAGTAGTTAAGGACAGCAAGAGGTACGAAGCACTTAGTGGGCCTGCATCAACATTCCACAGGCCACACACTCTTCCAGCCCTAATAACCTGTCTTAAGAGCCTTTAAATTTCTCAGCAAAGCCACATAATGTCCCCATCTGAGAACCATGTACACCTTTATCCCTGTGCCTAAACAACTGCCCTGCCTCCTCCTAAGCTAACTCTTCATCTTTAAAGTTTCAGCCTAAATACTCCATCACAGAAGCCTTCCTAGGCCCCCTCTGAGTCCTCCACTTCCATGCCCCAGACTAGGTCAGGCCCCCTGATATATTAGCAGCCTATATTTCTTTGTCTCTTCCCACAACCCAATTAAATAAGTGTAATTAGTTGTTGAACATGTCTCCCTCACTAGAAGCTGCGCTGCGGAGAGTGCAGCTTATTTAGTACACTACCTCTAGTGGATAGCAGTGTTTGGCACTTGTTGACTGAATGACTGTGAGTTAAATTATTTCTCAAATAAACATACAAAGCCTAATTTTCTACCTTCAAGCAGCACAGCCTAAATCTAATCCTTCTATGTGGCAGGCATAAAATATTTGCAGCAACTACTTCTCTACTTTATTTCCCCTTTTACTCTACTTCTGTCCAAATTATCTCATCATCCATGTTAAGTAAGTATATATAAATACATTCCAGTTTTTTTTTTAAATAGGGCTCTTCGGCCTTATGTTTAGGTATGATCTGATCACGAGGCTGTAAACTCCATGAGGACAGGAGTCATATGTATGGGACACCCAGGCCTCTCTTGACACCTGGCACACAAAAGGCAAAAAATATACCCTATTCAGGTCCTAGGATCACATCAGCTTCTCTGATGGACATTCCTGAGCTAAATATACAGCGAGAAAGCTGGGCCTCATACATCACATACACCTAATTGCATGAGCACAGAAGAGCTGAAAACAGGCTCTGAATTATACAGTCCTGGTCAAAGTCAAACAAGAGGATTGAGCAACTCTAACAATTAAAGTCTCTTGCTCCGGACCACACAGAAATCATACTTCCACGTGGAGCACATTCGGGGAACTCACACCAACGGTCCTCAGTGGCCACTGCAAGCATGTGAGACTAGCAGGCCCTTCAGAGAGGCCAGCCAAAGCTCAAAAGCAGGGAATGCTACCTGGCCACCCTCACTTCACCAAGTCAGAGACCTGGAGCTAGTGCAGAAGCCTCCCATCTTCAGAATCCTAAAACCAGCTGTCAACCCAGGAAGTCATACTGACTGACTTCCTCCTGCATTATAATCCCAGTAGGATCTTTTACCTGAAAGGAAATATCTAAGGCAAAAAGTAAAATTAGGATATGCCAAGATGAGACCATATAACCCACTGGGCCAAGATCACTGTCCTGAACAGAGAACTGCCATAAGACACCAGAGTGAGTTTTGTCCAAGGTTCAACATTAAGATTTGACTTCTTTATTATTACACTGGGAAAAAAAGTACTGGAACCAAACTGGCATCAATTTTCTGTGGGTACAGTTTATGTCACAGGGTACCTACAATTATTTATGCTATAGTTAAGTGTTCACTTCCTTCTTCATTCATATTGACATCTTGCCCTGTGGGATACTACTGGGCACAATTATTCAGGTTGGTAAAGTAAGATGTGCTGTGTGAGCCTCCTGAGTGGAAGTGAGGAGTATAGACGGAAACACCTGTCAGAACATAACAGCATCAATTTCCCTTCCTATCCTCAAAAGCCAAGTGAAAAGCAAAAACAAAAAAACACATGCCCTTAGATCTAGATTTTTCCCTCTTTGATATCTGACCCAAAAACTGTGTTCTCTCACCTATGTGCAACATTGTAATTTCACTTCTACAAGCAAGTTTTTAAAATGAAAATAAAAGGCAGGACTGAGGAAGTATTTTGAAATTAAAAAGAAGGAACAAATGGAGCTGAAGGTGTGGCTCAAGCAGTAGAAGTCTGCCTCACAAGCATGAAGCCCTGAGTTCAAACTCCAGTACAGCAAAAAGTAAACAAACAGTCTGGGCACCTGTGGCTCGTGCCTGTAGTCCTAGCTACTCCAGAGGCAGAGATCATAAGAGTCAAGGTTCGAGACAAACCTCAAAAAATAAACAATACAGTAAAATAAAGGGCTGGTGGAGTGGCTCAAGTGGTAGAGCACCTGCCTCTAAGTGTGAGGCCCAGGTTCAAACTCCAGTACCATCAATAAATAAATAACTAAATAAATTTTTAAAGGAACATGGGTAAATTTATTGTCATAGTTCATCTTAATTTCACTCTTTAGGTGTTTATAGACAGACTTAGAGGCCTAGGATTACACATGAACTCCAGCATAACAGCCATGAATAGCTCTCATTAGCAGGACCTAGCAAGTATTTTTTTCATGTAGCTCTGCCCTAGGCAAGATGCATTATGAGCTTTGAGAGAGCTAAGAGATACACATACCTTTATGAAGTACTAGTGGCAGGTACCTAAGATACCTTTGACAAGTATTTAAGCTGAAATTACCAGTTGAATAATAGAATTGTGGAATTCAGACTAGTGAAAAACCAGTGCTGTGATGTGTGACCTAGAAACCCCCAGGCTTCCTCAGGACTGTGACTCAGATAAAACAGTCAATTGCATGTCAGATCCAAAATAGTTTTGTGCACATTTGTCTATAACATACAAATGCAACTGCAGTTGTACAAGTGAAGGCAGATGTCTTCTCACTGTAACATCTTCTATATTCAAATTTTTATCTGAAAAATCCAAAGAAATTCAGACACAGATCCAAAATGTTTCACTGCTATGTTAGTATTTAGTTCTGGTTCAAGAATTCTCGGGTGATTTCTTAAAAGTAACATTTTCTCAAGTGAACCAAAGTGTCTTCACTAATGCATCTAAAAAGAGTAAGATACTTGGTTCAATTCTCTTTCCCTATGGATGCACAGAAGAAAGGGGTAGGAAATAGTACTGTACTTGAGTGTAAAACAGATGATGGCCAAATCTGCCTAAAGGTGCAGGCACACTTGATTTAAACAGTCTCAGCGGTTGTAGTCCCTCTCAAGGTCACAGAAGCTGGGCCAGGAGAGCTCCAATCTGCCAGATTCCCCATTCAAAATTTCTGCCCTTACAGGCCTTGACGGACATTTCACTAAACTTACACCCTATTCAAAATATGAGGAATTCTCCAATAACATGCCTGGAGGGCCAGAGCTCAATTTTGGTAAGGTATATATCTTCTGCAAATAATGATTATGATTTGGCTTTCAATCAGCATGAACAAAAGTATTTACCAAGAAAATAAAGGCCAAACCAGGCACTTTGGTTCATGTCTATCATCCTAGCTACTTGAGAGGGAGAGATGGGGAGATTACTGGTTTGAGGCCAGCCTAGGCAAAAAATTCTTGAGACACCGTATCAACCAATAAAAAGCTGAGTGTGTTAGTATGTGCCTGTCATTCAAGCTATGTGGGAAGCATAAATAGGAGGTTCGCAGTCCAGGCAGGCCTGGACATAAAGCAAGACCCTATCTCAAAAACAACCAGAGTGAAAAGGTCTAGGGGCATGGCTTAGATGGTGGAGTGCCTGCCTAACAAGTATAAGGCCCCAAGTTCAAACCCCAGTACCTCCAAAAAAAAACAAAAAAACAAAAAACCAAAAAAAACCCTAAAGTCAAATAGATACCATGTATGTTTAAGAAAATCACCAGAGTCTCACCTATATAATTTGAAGTATCTGTAGGTTTCAAGTTTATAGGATCAAAATAGAAGTACTTTGGGGCAGAAAGGCACAGGGTTTGACAGTATAGGACAGTGGTTCTCACAATGTAGTCCTCACACAACCAGCATCAGCATCACCAGGCAAATTCTTGGACCTTGCCCCAGATGTCTGAGTGAGAAACTTTGGGAATGGAACCTTTGAGGTGATTCTACCGCTCACTAAAGGTTAAGAACCATCAGTCTAGAAGAAGAAAGATAAAGGCAAGAAACATTCATTCATTCATTCATTCATACTTGCTTTGGGGCTCAAAAGGAAAAAAATTATGCACAAGCCTTGGAAAAATAAAGAATAGATTTTTGCCAGGTGCTAAAGGTACCAGCAAGAACTGAATGCCAAGCTTAACAACATTTAGCAGGTTATGTACTTTAGTTGCTTGTAAGTTTTTTAATGTGGCACCTAAGGTTGAATTCCCAGTGAAGGATCAAACCTTGATCTTCCTGATCTCAGTCTCTCAAATAGCTAGGATTATAGGTGTGAGCTACCGGCACCCAGCTCATAGCATATTTTAAAAAGGGAACTGAACCCACCATCACCACCAAACTAAAAACCACTGACCCATGAGTTAGTTTAGGAGATTAGCAGATTAGGCAGTTTATCACAGTACAATGTTCAAAGTTTGGGTTCTGGAGCCACCAAATAAGGTTTATATCCTAGTTCAGCCATGAGCTCTGTAAGCTTCAGTGTCTTTTCCTATCCTGCCCATTAAAGGCTATAGGAAGAGTAAGCAGGATTAGACATATAAAACACTTAGCACAGTGTTTGTCATGTAAGTACCCAAGTAATATAGCAAGACCAACCTTACTTGTGGATTTATTGCACGCAGTATTAACCAAGCATGGTCAAAAAAATACATTTTTAAAAATCAAAAGAAATTTCAAAAACAAATTTAAATTTCTACACATGTACTCAACTGAAGTGAAGCTCTGTCAGTCCCTCATTATCATTAGTCGTATTTAAATCCTTGTGTGATCTGCTGTTTCCCTGACCTTCATTTTGTGAATATCTGCCTCCTAAAAAGTAAATAGTGCCCAAAAGGTAAGATAAAAGTTATGGCAATTCTCTGAAGTCAAAAAGGGCACATAATGTACTTAACTGAAGTGACAGCATGTCTTTAAGCAGAAGCTGGGCAGGGTTATGGGGAAAATTAATCAAATATCCACAGTAACTGAGATAAGAGTATGAAGTAAGACCTGGTCTTTGGTGAGCAGTACTAATGTGCACAGCAATCATGTCTCTGACAGTACTGCAGCTACTCCATGTGGTTTTCAGGTCCACTGTACGTACAGTATGGCTAACTTGAGTGCTGGAGTCACTGCATCCTGAGCCTTCAGCTTTTCTTTTTCCTCTTAAGTGGCCTCCTCGGATACCAAAGATCTACTGTATAAACTTTCTTACAACAATGTTACTACTAAACAAAACGTACTGCAGGGTACATAATGTTTAGCAGTATGCCAGTTAATAGCTAGTTGAAATGTTGATAAAAAAAACATTCCACAACTTAAAACGGATACACTCAAGTTTGTTACTGTGCTGTATGCAAGACACCAAGCAGCACAGATCCTAAAGACTGCAGACAGGAAGGGCACCTTCATCTGTTCTGCCCATCACTCCCCATGGTACCTTCTATCACACCACCAACACAAAGCAAAATTAAGAGTGTCCCTTGTTATTCAAACACATCATGGCCTCTACGGCCATTAAATTTTACTTTACAAAGTGACTTGGAATTTGTAAACTAGTAACTGCCATACATTGTTTGGGATTAAAGCTGGGTTTTTAGGGCACTTTACTCATTACATGTCAATCTGAATTCACTCAGCCTTAAAAAGTATTCTGTTACCTTTTGCTGTTTTCCCTGTTTACAACAAAAGTAAGCACTCCACAAGAGAAGAGGTGAGAAGAAACTGACAGGGTCCTGAGATCATATATCTTTGTGTGTGTGTATGTGTGTGTAATGAATTTTTACTCTCCCCCATTAAAATATATATTAAATTACTAATTTTAGTAGTAATTATAAGCTTAAGTAAATCGGAGAAGGAATAATCTCAAATTGCTTGTGGGAGATTTTCCAGCCTAATTTAAATGGAAAATTGAGCATTTCATACAAACCAAACTATGTTAAATAGATATCGACTGATAATGTGAGGTTAAAAATCTAAGTTTGGAGCTGGCAGAGTGGCTCAAGTGGTAGAACACCTGCCTAGCAAGCATGAGGCCCTTTAGTTCAAATTCCAGTAATGCCCCCTGCCCAAAAAAAACCCTTGAGTTTTGAAGATGTGTGTGTATATGCAAACAACTATAAATCCGAATGTTACTGAATATGCTTTTCTTTCATGCCTGAAGCTAAATGACAAACAAAATTAACACAAATAAAACTAACCTTTCAAAAAGAGTTATAATATGGAGAAATTACTTTTAAAAAATATGACATAATCATGGCTCACGCCTATAATTCTAGCTACTTTGGTGGTCAGCCTGGGTAAACAGTTCACAAGACCCCATCTCCAAAACACCCAGAGTAAAATGAACTGGAGGTATGGCTCAAGCAGTAGAGTGCCTGCTTTGCAAGTATGAAGCTCTGAGTTCAAACCCAGTACTACAAAAAAAAAAGGTATAAAGAAGAATAAAGTCTTCACCATATCAGGTGGGCTGAAAGTCTCCAATTTGCCTGGTAATTATAGAACACATGGGGTCAATGGATTTAGAACATTGAACTAAAGCTCAGGAGGAATTTAAGTTGCAGAAACTTAAATGCAGAAATAGTTGTTAATTTACAATCCAACTGCTTTACTTCACAGATGAAGAAACTAGGCTCAGAGAACTTAAGCGACTTGTGAAAGGTCAAAAGCTTTTTGACTCTTTAGAAAAGTTTGAAATGGTTGATATATTGCTGTATTTGGCTCACTGGCGTACAGAATATCCAATTAATTCCAGGAGAAGCTAATTTTAGTTCATTATGGCACTGGAACACAGAAACAAACATACCTTGAAAGAAGACAGAGCTGTAAGATCAAGTCAGCTCTAATTCAGAGCTCAAAACTCACCCACGACTACACACACCAAAAGCTAGGAGCTATTTTAAGAAATGCCTTCTGCAATAAATTATGAATTAAAAGAAAAGGAAATAGCCAAACTGATACATTAAGCCTGTGATCATCAACCTCTGGTGAACAATGGAATCAGACTCCTTCCAAAAATTGTGTATATATGGACAGGGTGTCCTCAAAAACAGAAGATGTAGGGCTACCACTATGGGGCCAGATGTTTGGATGCATGGAGGTTCTAGTGAACACTACAATTTGAGGTCCCTTGTTTCTAGAAATTCCATTATTCTGTAAACATTACATAAATGGGTATATATTAGATTTGCCATAGTAAGACCTTTCTGTTTCATCTCACAAATGAAACCAGGTATGCACAGAAGGCATCAAATCACACAACATTGGCAGTACGAGACAGATTTGCTCTTAACTCAGTATGGCACAGTACAACTGGAGTCATGGGATTCAAGACACTTCAATTTAATGAAAATAAGCAAGGCTGGTAGCGTTTTGATTTCTAACTAGGAATTTAGGAACATACCAAGTGTTTATGACACCAGGAAAAGCATGAAGCAAAGAAAGCTTACATCATCTGCCTTTCCAAGCACGTGATGTGAGAGTATTTTGGATAAGATATTAACTCTGGTAAGAAGATACATTCCATTTACATCCTCTATAAATACGCCTGAAGTTTACATCAGATGGTTAAAGGAAGAGTCTGCAGCTCCCCAGGGCAATAGCAAAGAATGGCGCAGTGTTTCTAAGGAGCCTCATTTGCCTGATGCATGACTGTTAAAGGTACAATTCCCTACAAAACACTAAATCACTTTTCACATTTGCATATTCCAGGTTTATTCAGGAATGCTCAACTTAAGAATCACAGGTGGTTGCTTGGTAAATCAAAGGCTCCCAGAAGATTGGGTACTGTAATGTTTTCTGAAATTTACACCTCTACTTTTCCAGCTTGCTTGAATTTAGAACCACTCCAAGTTGATCCCAAAGTTACAAATCAAAGTATCTCAGAAGAGTATTATTCTAGTTTAGTACTTTTACAGTTTACTGTACATGAAGTGCTATTTCCACACGTTCTATTATTAAAAAGAATCCTGCATGGATTTTAGCAAGATTTCTTTTTAAGTAAACACATCAGTTTTATAAAAGTATCAAATACCTTGCAGCCTAACTTAGACTAAAAAACTCACAGGCACAACACTTGCCTTCCAAAACAACAGCATAAGGTAGAGGATGGGGAGTTTGCTCAGTGGTAGAGCACTTGCCTAGCAGGTGTGAAATCCTGAGTACCATCCCTGCCACCCCAAAAAAGGAAGCAACCCTAATTCTAGGCTATGTGTGGTGGTGTACACTTGTAATCCCAGCACTCAGGAGGCTGAGATTGGAGAACTGTTAGTTTCAAGCCAGCCTGGGCTACATGTTGAAACCCTTTCTCAAACAAAACCAACCAAAAAGAAAAAGCGCAAGGTATATAAAAGCCAGTGCGTCCCTTCGAAATTACACACACACACACAGCAAATGAATAATTCTAATCATTTAATGACAGGCCAGTTTTGATCAAACAACAGACAGATGAAAGAGTCATGTCTTGGAACCAGTCAGACCTCAGCTCCAGTACTGGCTCAGGTTAGGGGTGTGACCTTGGGCAAATTACCCTAATCTCTCCAGGCCTCAGTTTCTTCATCTGAGAAGACTGGAGGCAGCCTCTTCCTTTGTCTAGGACCAAAGAGTTGATGAACCAAAGACTTCCACAGTGCCTGGCACACAGAGAGAGCACCCCAAAACATCAGCAAGTTGTTACCTGTTAGGAGGACCGCGCCCCACCCCCCCCCCCCCCCCCCGAAACCCAAAACACACGAAGCAAACTCTTGAGCGGACAGCACAAAGAAAGCACTTCAATTCTAAAACGGTCTCTCGGACGGCAGGCGCTTCCTCCACCAGTTACTCGAATGAATGAGCGCTCAGGGGCCTCTCTGCAAGTAGCTCTCTCTTAAGAATTACCTCTTCTGATTTGAAGGTAACTGTCTTTCACCGTCAATTAAACACCACGAGTGCACCGGGCCGGCGCGAGGCGCCCCCGTCCTGCGGATGTCAGCGGAGACCCGAGGTCCAGGGGAGTCCCCGATGCCCACAGGCAGCCTCCATTCATTCCCCACACACACCCCTACCCTGCTCGCGAAGTCCGGGGACCAGCCCCACCGCCCAGCCCTTCCGCGGCTGCCAAGAGTCTCTCCGCGGCCCTCCGCCCCCCGCGTGGACCTGTCACCCCACCAAGTGAGGGGCTGGCGACCGGGCCCACCTCCCCCCTGCCCTCGGCGCCGGGGCTGGGGGCGCCGCTGTCCCCTCCTCGGCTGCAGAGGAGGGGCGAGATGCACGTCCGCCCGCCTTCTACCCCCGGGGGACCCGCCGGGCCCCACCGGGCCCCGCCGGAGACAGCGCGTAACAAGAGGGAGGGGAAAGCTCTCCGAACCCCGTTCCCTGGACCCCTACCCAGCAAATGGGCCCCTTTGCCCCGGCCCCCCAGGACTCCCCAGACTGAGGTCATGTTGCCACGGATGCCCCGAAAAGCCCTCATGAAAAGGAGGGGGAAACAGTCCCATACTCACCCACCGTCTCCTCCCCCTCAGCTGTTTACCTCACAGTTCCTCCAGCCTACAGGGCGCCGCCATCTTGGACATACAGCACCTCCCCCCGTCGTGAAGCGTCCACCGCCGGATGCGGCGTCCGCCACGAAAAAGAGTCCCGGCCAGGCCCCGCCTCCTCCCCGAACCTAAGGACCGATGACCGAGATCGGCAGCCTCGCCAGACAGGACAAGCCATTTCACTTATTGATGGTGATGCTCTCTGGCCGAGAAACAAAAACCAAGGAGCGTGTTTAGGTGGGGGGGCGTGGACGGCGGAAGGATCCCGAGAGGAGGGCTCTGAGAGATCTTGTGATCGAAGGAGGCAGAAAGAAGGGCCGGCGCAGCAGGAGGAGCCTCTGAGAGCCCGAGGGGCGGGGCGGTCACGTGACGGAGGCGAGCCTGCGGCCGAGGCATAAACAAGCCGGCCCTTGGCTGGGTGTGGTGGGAGCGCCGCCCACCTGTCCTGGGCGCTTCTTCACTTCACCCACCTGTTGCCCTTGGGTCTTCCTGTGTGCGGACACAGAGCAGCGGTCCAGTTTCCCCCAAAAGCCCCTGGTGCTCGCGTGGGTGGAGGGCCTGCTAAGTCAGCCAGGGAAGGGGTGAAAATGGCTAGGACAGTCCTCTTTCTTTTGCAGAGTGTTTGAAGTCCACCCATGGAACTGCGGAGAACCACAGTGGCTTCAGGTTACGAACACCTGCCCATCCAAACACCTTGATTGCTTTTTCTTCTACTTTCTGACAAGGCGTTAGGACCTTCAAGCCTCAGTTCCTTCCTCTGAAATGGGCCCAGTATTCGTGAATTGATGGAGGAGATACGATATGGAAAGTGTTTAGCACAGGGTCCCATGCCTAGCGAATTACTCAGTAAGTGATGGCCCTCAGTATGAGACAGGAGAGAGGGAGATAGAGTCTGTGGGATCAGAAAGGGTTTTTTTTGTTCGTTTGTTTGTTTTTTGAGACAAGGTCTCACTGTGTAGCTTACGCTGCAACTCGTGATCCTGCTGCCTCTGCCTCCCCAGTGCTGGGATTACAGGTTTGTGGGTGTGTGTGTGTGCTACCGCGCCCAGCTCTCAGATGGGGTTTTAAAGGAAAGGTGGGTTTTATGAAGTCGAACTGGAGAGGCAGCTGCAAAAAGGGAGGTATTCCAGTCACGGGGAGCCAAGGGAGCAGGAGCCTGGCAGCAGGAAAATGCTGGTGAGTTATGGGAATAACAAGTTTTGTCATGGGAACTGACTGGGTCACAATGCAAGACAGCTTGTGATTAAGGGGCCAGGTGTGTGAGTAGCTAGCACAGTGGGTGCTGTGAGAATTCTGAGAGGGCCCTGGATGGTCCAGGGTAGACTGCTGCTAGCTGGTATGGTGCCTTTGAGAGAATTAAAAAAAAATGCACCCTCTCTGGGCCCAGTGGCCCCATAAGCAGAGCCCAGGCTGTAGTTCCACCTCTCATTCATCCTCAGCCCTTCTGGGGGCCTTTGAGCAGTGATCAGCTTTTGTTTTGTTTTGTGTTTTATTTACTTACTTATTTTTAGTGGAACTGGGGTTTGAACTCAGGGCTTTGTGCTTGCAAAGCAGGTGTTGTACAGTGATCAGCTTTTATGACCATAGGTCTTGGGCCACACAGGCTTCTGAGGAAGCTGGGAATTGAGTTGGAGATTCCAGTGGTCCAGCATGGCCATGGAGGCAGTTGGGGGAAGCCAAGAGTTCTAGATTTGAACCAGAGTCTGAATTTTAGTGACTCAGTGAACCTTTGTCTCCTCAACTTCAACATAGGTAATAATAATGCCTACCTAAGCAAGATTTGCAGTAGACTCAGACAGTAAAGGGTAGCTAGCTAGTACAGAACCTTGTTCGATTAATGTCAGGTGTGTTAACTGTGCTCCCTGTCAGCACCCACCGGTCCCTAGAGTTGGTTCACCTAATGCTAAATCCTTTAGCTGCCCAGTCTGCCTGGGAAGGCTGAGGGAGAGAGGGAAGGGACCATGTTCTCTCAAGTCCACCTATCCACAAACCATGTCACAGGAGTGGATTCCTGCCTCTGCATTACACCAACACAGAAATTCCAGTGTGTTCAGAGATTGCTGGATGGGAGAATTAAGGTGGTCAAGGAATGGGGTGGGAGAACAGGCCCTGCTCCAGAGGCTGACCCTGGAACCCCCTCCCTACCAGGCCTTCCTGGCTGGGTGAACTCATCCTGCTGGAATGTGCTCCTCTGTGAAGGCAGTAGTGATGCACAGAGCTCATCAAGGCTGGCTCTCAAGGGGGCCGTAACCACATTGTTACTGTTTATACAGTGTCTGGAAGAAGAATGGTGATTGTTATTTCAATATGGACCACGAGGGGCTTGTGAAGAAGCCAGGAAGAACAGGCAGAGACAGCCTGCCACCCGCTCTCTTACCAATCTGGGTTTCTCTGGGGTTGACTTTTGTCATTTGCTACATAGAAGCTCATCAGACCACCTCCTTCTACACACCACCCCTGTGTCCACAGGTGGTGCTGACTCAGTACCTGTGGTGGATATCTGTTGCTTTAGTCTGTGCAGCATCTCTACCCCCTCTGAGGAGGCAAATGCCCTTTCCTAATTCCTCATATGCTGGTGGGTCTGACAATTACAGTGTCACTCTCAGCACCAAACATGGACCAGGCCAAGCCAACCTCAGAGTCCCATCACCCAGCCAAAGTGATTGGCCCACAGTTGGACATGTGACTTTGAACCCAACCAATCAGGGTGCTTCCCTGTATGTTTCTATAAGAGAGATTTTTCTCTTTCTTTGGGATCACTAAACTGGGACAAGGAAGCTGTGACCTCTCCCTTTCCCTGTACCATAACAGCACCATAGCAAGCAATGTGAGCAGTCTGACTAAAAAAGAGACACAAAGACAGAAAGATGAAGGGGCTGGAGTGTAGTTTAGTGCCCAGCATACATGAAGTCTTAGCTTTGATCCTGAAGGGGGAGGGGCGGGAGAAAAAAAAAGAAATCACAGAGAGAGAGAGAGAGAGATTGAAAAATGCTAGTTATGCAGGTTGAGATCCCTGAAACCAGCTTCACTCTGGTTTTCCAAGTTCCATGATGCAGTAACAATTTCAGCTGATGCTAGTTACAGTGGGCTTCTGTCCCTTACAAACAAAAGGCTTCCTGGATGCATGGGATTTAAGGGCCTTTGGAAGTCCATCCATTGGAATTTTCTTCGGCTTTAGCTCCCAGAAGGCTGTGTGGCAGCCTCCTGACCACTCTCTCTTCCTTCAGTGCCATTTGCAAAACTGAGACCAAGCTCTTCACGGTGGCTCCCACAGCCACCTGGTCTCTCCAGTTGCTGTCCAGAGCATGGAACACCAAGAGGCTTCACACCTTGCCTTTCTCAGGCTGTCTCCAAGCCTCTCCCTCCTGTGCTGCTTATTCTCCTTTGACCCTTCTCTCTGTGCTCCACTCCACCTGCCATGCCTTCTGAGCTGGCTCTCTGGCTTCCTTTTGCCTTTGACCAGAGTAAAGTGTGACCAGAGGAAAGAGAACGAGCCTTCCTGCCTGCTGGGCCACCAGGATCCACAGCTCCTGTTACATAGCCTGGTTTACTCTGTGTGTTAGCAATGGCTCCCTCCCCCTACTGTTCACACCTAGAAAAATAATGGTTCCCCACTGTCACTAGTCTCCAGACTAGTGACTCTTGTGTCTCTGAAGCTGCTCACTCCTCTGTCTTCTTAATTACTCCTTTGAGATTGGTTCCCCCCAGGATCCTAGCTGCTATACCCCCTTTTAAGAGTATCTGTCCATGGCCTGGGCTACACACTACAAACCACTCCAAACTCATAGATGTACACACACTTGATCGGACCTGGGTCAGGGATGAAAACCTCCCCTCATCTGAGCCAGCCAGATTCTCCTGGAGAATTCACACTGAGAACCCAAGTCTAAAACTGATGGTGCTCCAAGGGGCAGCATTCAAACTGCTGTGCTCCAGGATATTCACACCTTGCACATGTGCCCTCTAGGGTTGTGTGACAAGCCCAGATGGTGTTAGTCTCTGGGGATCATGTGGAGTTGGATCCAGCCATGACCCCTCAGCACCTGGATCAGTTAAGAATAAGCAGCTAAGAGCCTTGCTGGGGGGGAGACAAGTGCCCAGACCAGAAGGGAGCAGATGCAGTGACAAGGGACACAGGTCCCTGAGGAGGAAGGAGAGCTGCAGAACCACAGCCCATTGCTTAGAGGCCTGGCTGTATACTGCCTACTTCAGTCTGGAAGATGCTTCTGCAACTTTTCAGTACATTTCACTTTTCTACTGACAATCAGCAAAGGCCTGAGATGGCTAAGACCATTTTGCTTCTTCACCTTATGACACCTGTTGTTCCTCCGAGACTCAACTCCATTAGGAGGTCTTCTTAGGATAGCATAGGTCTTCTCTGAACTTGCCACCCACACCCCAGGTCTATCCCCATTCCTTCTACCCAACCCCCTATTTACAGCCTGTCTTCCACCAAACTCTCGTGTTCTGCTGCCCCCAGGTGGTGGGATGGGCACAAGGCCTCTCAAAACATCCTTAGTTCAAGGTCAAAAGTGTTGGGCAACATGTATTGAAATAGCATACTGTATTCCATAAATAAATATAATTGTTAATTAAAAAGAAAAAGTAAATTAAAAATCCAGGAACATTGGGACCAAATGTAAGATGGAAAAAACTTTCAAGATTAAGGCTAGATGGTGTAGAGACTATTAGAGATGCAAGAGCTGCCTCACCACATGACTCAGTGATCATGGAAGTTCACAGGCTCCACACAGGGTTGGCTGCCATCTTTCTTTGCTTCAATGCCTCCAAATGGAATGGAACTTCCTTGTGTTGAGGTGAATCCCTCAGCCGAGATCAGCCGAGAGTCTAGTATGCTCTTTTATTTCTTCAGGCTACATTTCAAGTGCTGAAGTAATTTGCCAGGTCTTCCATAATAAAGTACCACAAACTCAGTGACTTAACAACAGAAATGTTTTGTCTCAGTTCCGGAGGCTGGAAGTCCAAGATCAATGTGTCCCCAGGGCTGGTACCCCAGAAACTGTAAGGGAGAATGTCCCAT